TGGTCATCCAAGAACCTGTGTGCTCAGCCCACCGCATCCCCCGCCAGCCACATCCTCCCTGCCACCCACGAGGCCCCGGCTGCCTTCTCCTTCCATCCACGGCTCTCCCGGGAGGCGCTTTCCCAAAGGATTTTGTTCTGGGGAGAGAGCCCGGGAGGACGTGAAAACAAAACACGAAATGGCAAAATGCTTTCTTGTGCATGATGGGCGGGAAACGCTGTGAACTGACATGTTCTAAATTTTGTCCCAACATGCTTGCCAAAGTAATATGTATTCATTATAAAAGCCCAAGCAGCACAGAAGTATAGATACTAAAAAGAACAAGCCCTCCAGGCCACTTTCTTACCTCGCCTTTCACCTCTCCCCAACGCAGATCTGCGCCCTGAATGGGCCGGCGTTCCCATTTCCGGGGAGTTTTCAGATTGTGACAGGCATCTGCACGTGTGTGGACACAAATGTGAGCTCTTTTGGAAAACAAACAATACTGTTCAGCAGCTTGATTTATTTTCTTTAAAGCTATATTATGGGGACCTAGCTCTGCAATAAGATGTATGGATTTACCCTGTTCTTTTGAACAATGGCCCGGAGTTCCAGCCTACGATGGTTCATGACTTATTTAATAATTTCCCTTTGCATGAACATGAGAAATTTTCCATTTTTCCTGTATCACCAATCATGTTTTAGTGAACGTCCTCGTTCATAGGTATTTGTGCAGTTGTTTGAATATTGGCTTAGTCAGCCCAGGCCGCCACAACAAAATACTGTAGACCAGTGGCTTCGACAGCAGGAGTTTATTTCTCACGGCTCTGGCGGCTGGGCGTCTGAGGTCAGGGTGCCGCTGCGGTCGGGCCCTGGGGGGGGGGTCTCCTGGCGGGCAAAGGGCTGCCTTCTCCCTGCGTCCTCCCGTGGCGGAGAGTGAGCGAGCTCTGGTCTCTTTCTCTGCTTCTGAGGACCCTGATCCCACCACGGGTTCCCACCCTCTGGGCCTCACCTGACCCTAATGACCTTCCCAAGGCCCCGCCTCCCGATACCATCATATTGGGGGTTAAGGCTTCAACATGTACATGTAGCGGGGGACATGTTCAGTCAAGAACAATATTTTAGTAGGCTATTTGGACAATGGGAATTGCCCTATCAAAGGATTCACATGTTTAAAATTTTGATTGTTGTTTAAAGTGCTTGCAACTCTTTACACTCCCACCAAAATGTGTGGTGAAAAGGGATTGTCTTTTTGCTTAACTGGCCTTTTCTTGATTGTTAGGGAGGGTGGGTGTACTTGTATTTGTCCACAGCGCTGTTAGTCATTTGTATTTTTCTGTGATTTGTCCATTTATACACTGACAAAGTTTTAGCAGTGTGTTTAACTTCTTTTATGGATCCAGTGGAAATCTTCATATGTTAGGACATTAATCCTTGGTGTAGTTCAACGTTTTTCTCTTTATATGAGTTTGGAGGGTTTTTATTTTCTTTTTGCTGTTTATTTTTTTCTTTAAAAATTTAAAGATAAGTTCGGTGACCGCATTGCCTATCTTTGGGGTTCTGGAATTTTCTTATGCACTAGCACAACCTTCCCATCCCAAGATGCACAAGGGTCCACATCTATGTTACTCTACACTTTGATGGTTTTGGTTTTTACGTTGAGATCTTTAGTGCCCCTGGAGCTTGTTCGGGGGTGAGCTGTGGAGCGGAGCTCTGCTTCCCAGATGCATGGATGTTTGCCCCATCATCGTTTATTGGGGAGCCTGTTAGTCCCCACCACCCAGCCATACTGTCACTGCTCTCTGCTCCATTTCCAGGGACACCCGTGTCTGTCCCCAACCTCCCAATTTTTCCCATTAATTATTTTCTAGGACTACACTGGTGCTATGCAGCTTTAATTATTATTACAGTTTTATATAGTGCATTTTGATGGATACCACCGCTCAGTTGTCTTCCAAGTGTTCTTGACGATTGTGCATTTTTCTTTTCTGCATTCCAAGTTCTACAACTTCCACTTCCTAAATAATGATGGACATTTTTCATTTGAATTGCATTGAATTGATATCATAATTAGGGAGAATTGGGATTTTTACAAGGTTCAGTCATCTTATCCATGTATCTCTTGTCTCCTTTCACACCCAAAACAAGATTCATGGTTTTTCTTTTCCTCTCTCCTCTTGCACATTTAAGTTTATAACGGGCTATTTTGTAGTTTTAGTTGCTATTTTATTATTTTTTCATTTAAAAATTTTAATTGTTCATTTTGTAAATTATATTTTTTTCATTACCATTTATCCTTCATACCCTCTTCTACCTCCATCTACCCCTACTTGTGATTTCAAATAGGCTTCTTTTTCATTTCACTATCTAATGAATGATTGGTAGTGTGTAGGAAACCTGTTGAACATATTACATATGGCCACCCTCCTGAATGTCATTTGTTTTAATACTTTTTTTCCAACCAGTTGTTTGGGGGTCAGCAAACACCTTCTGCAAAGGACCAGAGAGGGAATGCTTTCGGCTTTGCAGGCCACGGAGTCCTTGCTGCAACCCCTCAGCTCCGCTATCGTGGCGCGAAAGCTCCCATAAACACACGTCAGAGGAATGGGCCGGCTGTGTTCCAATAAAACTTTATTCACAAAAGCAAGCTACTGGCTGGATTTGACTCCTGGGTGCGGGATGGGGTTTGCTGACTACATTCTAAAGCACAAAGGTCTCTGAAACAGGGGACTTCAGGAGAGCACCGGCTCGCAGAAGAGATCGCAGCGGCTCGGGTGAGAGAGCAGGGCGGGCTGAGTGAGGGCTGCCCCTCCTCTGTGCTCTCTGCCCCTCTGCGCGGCAGGCCCAGCCCAGGGGCGCTCGTGGCCTGGACCCAGAGGGTCAGCTCCCACCAGCGGGGTACAGGGCATAGCGCCGCTTCCTTTAGAACCTGGTGTCCAAGTTTTCTGGCGCAGTCCAGGGCAGGGAGAGACATATTCTGGGCATAGCCTGTAGGGTGGCAGAGTAGGGACGTGGCTGTCCCCACCCCCCGCCCAGCTCTGCACCGCCCCCACCCCCCCGGCCTGTCTGTGCCTCTCAGCCTGACCAACGGGAGCAGAGGGAGAGCCACCGCCCCCCCCACCAGCCCCAAGCTACACATTGATCAATCCGTGTGTGCGGGCGCAGGCTCTTTGGCACATTTGTGTACCGTTTCTGAGACTAGGGCAAAAATCAGGTGTGGGGTTTTGGCTTTTCTACCCCAGATTTTAAAGGTCCCTTTTGGGGTGTGGAGGAAGGACCCCGGTGGCCTGGAGGAGGAGTGGCTGGCTCCGCAGGCCAGGAGGCCGCCTGCGCCCCACCCAGGGGAAGGCCTGGAGCCAAAGCCCGAGGAGCCGTTCCGCCTCCTTTCCGGACGCCGTTCTTGGGAAGCCTCTTTTCCCCTCACAGAGCTGTAACTACTTCGACAAGATCTGACCCCAAACAGGATCTCTCCCAGCTGCAAGCCCTTCTGCATGGAACTTCGGCTACAAGGGTGGGGGCAGATCGGGGGACCAGGGTGTGGCGAGCCTGCCCTGCAGGCAGGGGGTGCCGTTGGGAGCCGTGGCCTCCCGACGCTCCCTGCGGCTGCCTCCTTTGCTGGAATGGGCCTTTCCGTCTGTGGGGCTACACCCCCAGCAAAGGTGCTGGGCTCTGTGGGGCTTAATCCCTGCCTGGGGGCCTTACGACACCAGCTGTGGAGGCTCAGGACGCCAGCACGTCAGGGCGGCCAGGGGACCCTGGGCGAGGGCGCCCAAAACGTCCTGATTTGCTTCTCCTTCCAGGACCTCGTCATCCCAAAGTCCTGCCCACACCAACTAAGCTGAGATTTTCCTGGGCGTGACATGTCAACACTGCCGGCCGCGGGGCGGTCGTGAGCCCTCAGAGCCCTGCCCCAGGTGCTGCTCTCCCCAGCCCCCGACCGTGTGCGAAGGAACCGGGAGGAGCGCTGGGGTGACAGCTGGCGAGAGAGCAGTGGGCGGGGGCTGGGCTTCTCTCCCTCTGGGGTCAGAGAAGCCGAGAGCCCTGTGGCTGATCCCATAGGTTCCTGGGTGCTCCTTCCCCCAGAAAATGGGGTCAGTGAGCTGCACCCCACGTCTCGGCGCCCTCTGTGTCCCCCACCCCCGGGGCCATCCAGGAGCTCAGAGGTGTCATCGGCCCCTGGAAGCTGTTCTCGCCTCCCCAGAGACAGGGTCTGCGTCCTCAGGTAGTTTGTTTTCTCAGTTGTCGAGATGAGCTTGGATCCCCGAGGTCTCAGCCTTAGGGCTACAACCAAGGAGAAAACTCTTCCTACCATTTACCTGGCCAGGCACTTCCGTGTGGAACCTGGGTTTTTACGTGACTTCTGCCTTGATCTCAGCAGAGCAGTTGGGGCACCACGTTGCAGGGTCAGCAGGGAAGGGGCTATGTAAGAGCGCCCAGCCCCCGAGGGTCACCGCGGACAGAACAAGCCCCCCAGAGACAAGGGAGGCGCAGCAGGACAGCCAGCGGCCGGGTCTGCGCCCCCGCCCACAAGGACGCGGTTCGTGAAGCCCGCAGCAGACTCACGGCGTCTCAGCGGAACTCCCGCTGGCTTTGGTGTCCTGGGGAAATGCGACCTTGCTGGCCACAGAACAATCCCTCGCATCAGGAACACCCTTGGGGCAACGTGGAGCAGGAGGAGTCATGCAGGAAATCTGGGAAGGAGAGGTCGGAGGAGGGGATGTGACGTGAGAGTGGAGTCAGGACCTGGAGTCAGGACGTACCGGGCACAGCGCGGCCCACAGACCGACCCGTGGGCAGAAAGAGCGTGTTTCCTCATCCCGCTCACCCACGGAACCTCCAGACCTCCAACGGTGACCAGACCCCAGGGGCGTGGGCAGGTGATTGTGAGGGAGGCGGCCGGGGGAGGTGGGGGGTGGCGGGTAGATTTGGGAACTTCCTCCTTTTTGATCAATGTTGCACTTTTTGAACCTGAAACTGCTCTAAAAATAAAGTTTATTAATGAATTTTAAAAAGTTGCCAGGAAAGAACATCTACAGTAGGTCAGATATGATCAATAACCAATACCAACATTGTTAACCAAGAATACAATATTATTCTTACAAGGTACTTATGAATAAAGAACAATGAACGATATACATCTAATTGTTTAACACTCAACATACAATCAACATGTTCTGATCCCATGTGTAAACCGCACAAAAGAGAACCTTGCTTTTCATTGGTACAAACATTGCTTTTGTCACAGCAAACATTTACAATGTTAAAGTGTACCGTATCTAGAGGCTGGAGAACTATTTTGCCTGTTTCGCAAGGAAGTTATTGCTGTCTGTTCAGCTACTGAGTTACATTGTCACCTCTAACCCATGGGGTCTCTTCATTTCCAGGAGATTGTATTATACAGCATGATTATTTTGTAGCCAAGTTAAGTCAAAAGGTTTCTTTTTCTTAAAAATAAAAATACATGTAGAAATGTATCTGCCCCGGGACAGGGCGGGGACCCTCAGTACTTCTGCCGGGGGACTTGCGTCCTGTGCCACCAATGGAAGAGAAAACCACACACATTGCTTGTTGTTTTCATCCCAGATATAGTTTACGAAAGGATATTAAAATGTTTCTTAAAGCAAGAATCCTTTTTATAGAAGCCATCCAGCCGCTCAGGCAGTGCTGTGGACGTCTGCCCTTCAGTAAGTTCACGTTCTCTTCTGCCTGGGAAGGAAGGCGACGCGGTTGCAGAAGGAGGGCGGCTCGCACCCTGGCAGGAATGCTCTCTGTCTGTATTTTACACCAGTCCATTTTTTTAAACAGAGAAAGTGGACACAAGGTGCCTGTTCTCCCTCTCCTTCCTTTTCAGCACCGGTTACACCCCCGCCCCTCTAACGCTCCAGCACCTGCCCTGGGACCTGCGTCCGTCCCGGCCCCTGACACCCGGGAAGGGCGCTGAAGTCTTCGTGGCCCAGCGTGCACTCCGTCCTGAGGTCCCTGCGTGAACGGAATTTGCCTGCAAACGCACACACCTGCGGTGGATCCCCAGGTGCCGGTTCTCAGCCTCGGCTCTACCTCAGGACTCTGGAGCTTGAAAGAGTACAAATTCTGGGACTCACCCCTCGGGATTTGTACTGAACTCTTCTGAGGTGCAGCTCGCCCTGACTGCAGAGCTGCCGGCGACTTCACCCGCAGTGGGCTGAGAGCCGCCTGCCGCGGGCGGCCATGCTCAGGATGCTGAGGCTGTTGGTGGCCTCATCGGTACGGGGAGCATCCAAATCCTTAAGGCCCTGAAGATTCTCTAGCCCGTGTTGGTCAATGCATATCAATTGTAAATACACAAATACAACCGTTTGCACTGAATGCATGTCAACTGTAAACATACCAATAAAAATAATTTGCAACAAAATGCTCTGTTATTGCTTTTTTGTTTGTTTGTTTCCAGGATCATATTTGCAGAGGGGTGGGGGATGGTCCACAGTTGGATCTGTCTATGAGTGATAACAGAGAGGCTTTCTCTTCTGATAACAGCCACAAACAGACTCAACAAAAACTGCTTTACACCCAGACTCAGCTAAATGTGCTTTTCCACCTCCCCCCCATAAACATAAAAATCCAATTTTCATTTTCATCAGGTTAGCCACCTATGCTTAGCTCTGCAATGACATTGTGAGAGAGCCTTTGCTCTTGATTCAATGAACAAACAGCAAGCAAACAAAGATTTCGGTTTCAAATTGTGGTTCTCTTGCAACCTTTCTAAAGTAAACTATTTCCTTTTGTAGAAAAAAGGACTTCTCCTAAAATACACCTTACAAAGCTCAGTGCTACATAAAAGGATAATATTCCTCCAAAAAGTTACAAAAATAGATTTACATGAAAAAACTCTAGTACAAAGGTATGCGCCCCTCCTATGGCGTGGGGTTGGGGGCAGGTTTCTGGTCAGCTACGGCCCCAGACGGGAAGTGACCACATTGTGACCGCGGCTTCTGACCGTGCGCTTCTGAAAAGAGAGAATGCAGAGTGGACAGTAAGGCCGCTTCTACAGCCGTCCCCTGGGGTGAGCCCCTCATTGCTGGTGGAGGGGACTGCGTTTCTAACTCGCTTCTTAGAAAATGCACCCGGTCCACGGGCTCAGCAAGGCTCTCACCCGGGGACTGGCCTCTCTCAGGGAACGTTAGCTGCTGGGACAGGGAATTGGAGGCTGTTGGAATTGGAGGCATCAAGGCCGTATCTCGGGCTCATTGGAGATTGCAAATTGGCCCGTCCGCTGCCTCTGGGGGTCTTCCCTGCGGGCGGGGTGCTCTATGCTGCCTTGACCTGGGGACTTGGAGCAGATGGCCGGGGGACTAGCACAGCCGAGGGGGGCCTTGGAAATGAGGGTTTCAACTCTGCTTGCCATTTGAATCCCATGGGCAGCCCCTGAGATTTTGATGAAATCTGAGGGGACCCCGGCCCTCTTCCCTTCAAACTCCCCAGGCATCTCTAGGGGGCAGGGAGGGTGGGGACCTTTAGACCGTCATCTGTGAGCCTCCTATGATGCTTGGGCAACTGGAGGCTTGTGGCCAGTGAGCCTGTGGTGGCAGCCTATCAGCCGAGGGCCGGGTCCCCCCACAGAACTTTCCTTCCCCCCAGGGGTCCCCAGAATAGCCTGGGAGAGCTTGGGAGAGTCCCTGGGCCCGGGCTGCCCCTGAGACACCACGATCTAGCCTTCTCGGTTGGGACCTCGGGGGGTCACAGGGCAGCCGAGCGGGAGGACCAGCGCCTTCGTGGGCTTGGACAATCCCCGGTGCCCTTCCGCCTGCAGCGTGGGGGGTGGGCATGAAGCCCCCAACGAAGAACTTTCAACAAACACCTAAGCCATGAAGATTCATCTCCGCTGCCCTTCAGGAGGTGACAGAAGTCTTCTTCACCGAGTGTGGCCATAGGACCGCCCTACGGTTAATCGAGAGGCGGTGCGCGAGGGCGGGGACCCATCGCAGGCGTTGCTAGCACCCAGCTCTTCCTCTGTGTCCCAGGGCTGCAGCGGGGGCTGGGCTGTGGGCAAGGCGCCGGGACAGACCCAGGGAGAGGCAGCCGCGGTCCGGCTCTCGGCAGGGACTCAGGACGGGCTGGGAGGGAGCTTTGGGACCTGGCCCGTCAGGGAGAACATGGCCCCCGGGGGTCCTTCTCCTGACCGGCCACTGTGAGAGCCCAGGGGCTCCGCTCTCCCAGGCTCGGGGGCGCCGACAAGCCCCCCGGCCCCTTCCTGAGCAGACGGGGTGAGAAACCCAACCGTGAGAGAATTTGGCAGCTAGGTTTCATGCAGGAAAACTGAGATCCAAAGGAGAAGCAACAGCTTGCATAGTTTTGGCTGTTTTATTACGTTATAGTAAACTATTTCAAATGACAAAAATACTAGGATTTAACTGCTACAATGTGACGGGGGCGGGCACCCTCCCTCGCCAATCACCTGCTTTTTGGCAAGTAAAAGTGACGGTGGAATGTGAGGTCTTGCTTCCCAGCGCCGCATCAACAGCTGACTAAAACACTGACGTTCGAGGCGAACCAAGAATAAAAGCGACTGAACGGCGTAAAATGGCAGATTCTTAGAAATGTTGTCTGATCACCTCACGAGTCATTTTAAAATTCCTGGTGGGGACGCAGCTGCCCCAAGGTGGGACCTGGGGGCCAAGGCCCGCGGACATCCCAGGTGTGGGGGGCCGCAGGCGCGCCCGACCAGCCATGCTCTGGCGCAGGTGTCGGCTGGGCACCCGCCGCCAGGGGTCACCTTCCACCTCCTCCTGCCTCGGACCCTGCACCCCGTCAGGCCCCTCTGAGTCCTGGGGGAGCCTCGTGCCCCCCCAGAGGACCCTGGCCCGCCTGCTCTCTGCTGTGCCAGCACACTCGTCACATTGTTCTCCATCTAGTATTTGCTGGTCCATTTCCTTTGCCGTACGGTAAGCTTCGTGGAATCGGGGTGGGGGGTGTTATATTTATTTCTGTACCTTTAGAACCCTGGCTGGGCTGGTTGGCACAGGGGCTCAAGAGTGTGTGAGAATGTGACGGAGTTACCTTGAATATAGTTTACATTTCCATCGAGACCAACTACTAGGTGGTCGAACCCGTCCACGGGCCGCAGAGGTCACTGGCAGGGGGCCTGCCTGGACCCAAGGACGGGGTGGGCGTTGACGAAGTGCGCAGACCACCACCGCCGTTAGGTCACCTCGCAGGGCCACGCAGGTGAGAGAAGTTAGCCTCCTGCCTACCTGGGCCCCCCTCCAGCTGGAGAGACATCTTTTTTAGGAAGAAAAATATTTTTCTGCTAATATACCTGTCGATGTTGCAAAGGCATCATCACCAATTTCACACTCCAAATTCCTATTTACCACGGGAATTCCACCCTGTACAAAACGTCACCTTCACTTCCTCCTGTAAAACATGGCTGTAAGCGGCTGTAAGCAGTTGCCTCCGAGCCTGGGTCCTTGTATTGACACAGGACAATGGGGTGGGGGAGGGGGAAACTTTGAGGACAGCTTGCCAGGGAAGAACAAAGTACCCTTCGAGTAGAAAACTTCTAAAATGAAATAAAAATTATCTTCTGTGAGTAGCCTAAGCTAATTTTTTTTGGGGGGGGGGGCGGATGTTACACAAGTTTTAAGCACAGCTTCGTTTCTGCAGTCTATGGATTATGTGTTCCCTCCGGCCCCGCCTTGGTCCCCAAAGGACTCGATGGATTTCCTGAGACTCATATCTGGGGGGATGGGTTCGTGTCTGACCTTCTGCGTCTGAGTTAAGGCTCTGGGTCTGAAGGCCGCTGACTTAAACAGGCCCTATCTAGGTTATCATTTGCCGTACCATCTCCTCTACTGGGGGCGGGGCGGGGGAGGGCAGGGAACCAGGCTGGGTTTCAAAAACTGGAATGCAAAATACACAAGGAAGTCTCAATGCTCATAGTTAGAAAACACTGGCCAACCAGTGGAGAGCAAGTACCGTGGAGATACCTGTATAAAAGTTAAGTCTGACGAGGAATTCTAACCCCTCTGGTCCCTCCTGGCCCAGAAAGGGGTCCAAGTGGCTTATCCTCCGTACCTGCCATGACCGGACGCTGTGACCGTCAGGCCTGAGCAGGTCATGGAGGCCTTCTTGTCTGAACTGCCTGGCAGTGGAAGGTCTGGAAGCAGAGCCAATGTGCCGATCGAGTGTTAGCTGGAAGACTGGCCCTTGCTTCTTGGTCCCGGTTGGGCTCCCTCAACTCAGGGTAGCGAGGGTAGGGTACGGGCACGCTTCCTCCTCGTTGGAGAAGCCCATTCAGAATCAATAGAGACAGCTGAAAACCCCAAAGGTCCCCAAGCAATAAAACTCCATATATATGCTGTTTTTTCCCCTCAAATATACCTCCTTGAAAAAATGAACTTCGGTCCAAACGGACAACATTCTTCCCTGGGTGCCTTCCGCGGAAGCCTCCCAGTTTGAAGACAAAGGGATGTCCCAGCAGCTTCCCAAAGTACGTCTGAGGAGGGGGCGCTGCCTGGCTGAAAGATGAGGCGATCAGAGCAGACACGGCCAAACCAGTCCGGGGGTCCAGGACCCGTGCGGGCAGAGCGGTGGGGACGGGCGCGGCTGCGCGGCCGGTCCTGGGGGCCACAGAGTCTGGGGTTGTGATGGCTGCCGCTCCCTCTACGGTCACGCTCCAATAAACTCGCTGCTCGGGGGGCCTACCCTCAGGTAGTCTGCGTTTTCCGCTGTCGGACCCTTAAAGATGCCGTTGGACTTGGCCTCCTTGGGGAAGAAGTCCTGCTGATAGTCGGGGTTGTCCAGGCTAATTTGGTGGCTGCCTTTCTGCCCCCAGAGGGCGGGGCCGTCGGGGGCGCCGTTGACGTTGGGAGGAGGGGCAGTGTTGAGATACTCGGGGTTGCCCACGGCGTTGCTGTGGGGGTTCTGGTAGTGAGGGTCTCGGCCGGGAGCCAGATGGAGAGGCTGATTGTGGTAGACGGGGTTCTGGACAGAGCCTGCGGGCCTCTTGGGAACCAGCTGGTTTATGTATTCTGTGATTGAAAGGAAAGCAGAGGGCGTCAGCGGGGCACCGCCCTGGCAGAGCTCCACGGCCTGTGTGAAGCCTGTGAATGGTCTTCGATGTCGCCCCTGGGGGCGGCGGGGGGCGGGGGGCCTGGGGAGACAACTGTCTCGCTGTCACTGCAAAGGAAGTCGTGTCCTTGTCTGCATGTCTCAAAGCAGTGGGTGTGCTTATCTTTCACCCACGTCAAGTTCTAAGAGGACAACCTGCCTTGAGGGGGGGTGTGCAGGCAATGGGGGGTGTCTGGGATAAAGCTTAGATCAGAGAGTTCCATGGATCGCCGGCAAGGATGGATGGAGGAGAGGAAACAGAGATCAAATCCATCCTACACACACGCGCGCCCCATCCACACACGCTCACACAATGCTCACACCCTCACATACTTGCACACCCTCACGTCTGAGTAGTTTGCTTCTGAGTCCAGAAGATCTGCAGGTCCATTCTAGAAACACGGCTCCTGGACAGGCCGCGTGCTCACGACCCACGTCCGGGCTCGGTCGTGTGGTGTTTACCGGCCTGTCCCTCCCTGCTCTGTGTCTGCACATGTCTCCGCCTCAGGGTCGGCCTGGAGGAAGCCACCAACGGGGACACCGGGGCTGGAGGCCGCCGAGCGTGACGGATTCCAGCGCAAGCCACTTACCTGGCGCTGGGAGGAAAGTGCCATTGAGGTTGTCCTCAGTCAAGGCGCCGGTGGGGTCTGAGCTATACCGCTGCAAGAAGCTGTCTTCCTTCAGGGGACAGGTCTGCTGGGGGGTGGAAGGCAAGCTCACATGAGTCAGTGCTCCTCAGACGCGGCAGCGTGTGTGGTCGCCTGAGGTCTCGTTGGGGCAGACTCTGCGTCCGCAGGCCTGCGGCAGGGCCAGAGCCTCTGCGTTTCCAACACGCTGCGGGCCCACAGGCCCCGGGGCGAGGGGCGAGGCCCCAGCGGCTGCCTGCCAGGGCCTACAGCCTGTGCTCTTCCACGCGGCAGCCGTGGCCACCCACGTGAGGAGCTGGTTTTACACCACAGTTAAGTTTAATTAATGAAAATGTCGGGGTACGTAGCCACATGTGGCTAGTAGCTTCTACACTGGTAAGCGGGGGTCTAGATCACGGTTCCACGCCTTCAAGCAGCGGCATCACCTGGGTGGCTGTGTGCCGTCCTGGAGACCCTGCTTCTCGGTCTGGGGCAGGGGCCCCACAACTTGTGTTTGTCACCAGCCGCCAGCTGATGCCAGGGCTGCTGGTCCGTGAGCCACATTCTGAACTGCTCTGTAGTGAGGTGACACCTCACTGTGGACCTCAGGGAAGGGGTCAAGGAACCGTGCCGGGAAGAAACAACACAGCCGGAAGATCCGGATTCTCTGGGTCAGTCTGGGCATTTGCCTTTCTTTCTTTCTTTTTATCCTCACCCAAGGACAATTTTTTTTTTCATTGCTTTTAGATAGAGAGGAAAGGAGAGAGAGAAACATTGATGCAAGAAAGAAACACCGGTTGGTTGCCTCCTGCATGCTCCAGACTGGGGATCGAACCAACAACCTAGGTAAGTGCCCTGACTGGGAATCAAACCCACAACCCCTCGGCTACGGGACGATGCTCCAACCAACTGAGCCACACCGGCCAGGGCAGACCGGGCATTTTCCTTTGTGTAATAGAGCCACGCCACAGAGCTGTCACTGAGTCCTGGTTTCCTAGGGTTTCATACATACCCCATTTCTGTCAACGCACGCCACAGTGGAGTTGTTGCTGGTTGCGCTCTGCAAAAGAAGTGAAGGTGTTTAGGGGACACTTGCATGCCACCCCCACTTCGCTGAATGCACGAGGGGCATCTCACGAGGTGGAGACATTGAAAGGTGCTGAATTTCGTCTGGGCCCACTAGCTTTAGAAAAACCCGGCTTAGCTCTGATTCAGTCCTATTCCTTAGTGAACCTAAGAAGACTCCAATCCAGGTGTTGCAATGTAATGGAAAAGTTGATACACCGAATGGGTGCCTTCTGATTTGGGCTTTGCTACGTGGTTAAAATGCACTTCTCGGTCTCCCGGTCAGTTCCACGAGATGGGTATCATTTTCTCTAAAACCCCAGTCGTTCAGACCAGTAGACACAGCGCATGAGAGAGGGAAGCTTCTTACCAGGGAGCTCAGGAGGGGCGTCCGGGACGTGGAGGGGCTGTGGAAGAAGGCCTGCTGCGGGATGAGGTACTCGTCCGCGTCCACGACGTCCTCCATGTCTTCCTCGTCGATCAGCGCGCGGTAGAAGTTGGAGTCGGTGGGGCTGGGCAAGTGCATCCTCTCGTCGCCCTGGGGCAGAGATCAGGAGGCCGTCAGTAAGGCCCAGAGGGGCGGGACCCCTCCCGGGCTGCGGGGCGTCAGGCTGTGTCTGCCGGTGTCTGTGTGTGTGCCCTGTTGGTTGCAGTGCAACCTCCCCGCTCCCTCGGGTGAAGCTGCTTCCTCCCCCACCCCCCAACCTGGGATTAAACACGAAATGTTTAATTTAATACCCTTGATGCCCAAAAGCCCCTGAAGGAAACGCAAACAGCTTAGGGGGGCAAAGAAAGGCACAGCGCAACAACACGGACTGCGTGCGCATGATGCTGCGTGTGGCTGTCATGTGGCGATTTATAATAACATACAGGGTGGGCAAGAGGAGGTTTACAGTTGTGCGTCCACGAAACCTGGGGTTTATTCTTGTATTATATTTATTTTTGTGTCATTTATTTTTGCGTTTTCTAGTTTTCCATGTGAACGACGGCGAATTGGCCTTCGCCGGCCCCGCGTAGCTGGCCCTCATTTGCTCGTCCCGACACAGGGCGCTCCTGCAACCTGGGAAACCCCTAAGTGACAAGGGCCACGCATGGGCCTCGCTATGTTCCCGGGGCGCCTTTAGGACTCCAAGTGCGGGGGCTTGCGGCCAGGGAGCCAACGCTCGGAGGAGGGGGCTGGAGCCGTCATACCTGCCCCCACGCTGCCCTGCTCTCTAGGGTGGGCAGAGGGGCTGGAGGTGAAATCAATCACCAACAGGCCAATTTAACCATTGGATTCCATAAATGAGGTCTCCATAAAACCCCGCGAGGACGACGGGTCCGGAGAACTTCCAGGTCGGGGACGTGGAGCTTTGGGCTCAGTGGCCCGGGCCCCTCCTTCCTTCTCTTCCCTGCGCATCTCCTCCTCCCAGCTGTTCCTGGGTTATCCCCTTTTATAACCAACCAGCGACCCGGGGAGAACGCGGGGTGCCTGTGAGGAGGGCGTGGGGCCCTCCAGCTGCAGCTGGTCGGGCAGAAGCACAGGGGACAGCCTAGACTTGCAGCTAACAACAGAGAGGGACGGGGGGCCGTTTTGGAGGTAGGAGGCCTGAACCTGGGGCTCAGACCCTCTCTCCAGGTGGGCGGTGTCCGAATGGAGCTGAATCACAGGAAACCCAGCTGGTGCGGGAGGGCGGCTGGCCAGGCCCGGTTGGGGACCGGCTCCTCACAGCCCTGTCCGAGCACACGCTGGATCGCTGAGCAGAACCCCACGGGGCTGAGCCAGGCGTTTTGCACAGGTATCTCCCTGAGCCTTGAACGCCGCCCCGTGGGCTTGGTTTGGTTACCCTAACATGACGGAGCGCGGGGACATGCGACACTCATCACAGGGACTTTTCCCAACGCGCGGGCACATGGCGATCTGGTACCTGGATGACGAGGTAGCGCTGGGGGTCTCGGGCCATTTTGGAGAATTCGTTGATCAGCTCCCGGAATTTGGGGCGGCTGTCTGCGTCTATCATCCAGCCTGGAGGAGGAACGGGGGAGAACGGCGCGATTAGAAGCCTGAAAGCGATGCTAAAGATGGTGCCGCGTAAGCAAGCGCTGACGGTGAGACCCTCTTAGATGGACGTGGGATGAAGACGCCTGCCCTTGGCGAAGGGCCTTCCAGTCTCGGCCAACGGGCGCTGATCCGTGTAAAGCCCAGGATAACAGGGCCGGTGAGGGCCCGAGAGGCACTCACACCCCCTGATCCCTCTGCGCCCGCTCTCCCGAGAGCCAGCGCTCCGGCGTCGTCCCCACAGCGGCCCCGTGGCCTTGTTCCGCTCATCGCTTCCTGCGACCTGCTCTGAGGGGTCGTGCTCTGGCAGCAAGCCACGCCATGAGAGCCTCATCTCTAGTCCCTCAGGAAGCTTGCAAGCTTGAAACCAGATTCCGTTGAGGGAAAGTTAGGGACTTTCTTTAAGAACCTCGGGATTTGGGATTCCCCACCCTGGTGCTGGCGTCGGAGCACGCACCCAGGAATCACGCATGACAGGGCGGGGAGGGCCGGGGATCGGCGCCCTCCTGGGGAGGACATGCATGTTAGCCGTGCTGAGGCGTCCGGGCACGCTACGACCCGGGCCTGGGCCAGCGAGCCGGAGGGGCCGCTATTGGCTGGAAGTCCTCATGCCTCTCGGGGGCTCAGCTTTGTTTCCTATCAGCAGGGTGTCAGGCTGTGTTAGGCCAGACTGCGGGGTGACCTCGCACAAATCATGTAACCCGTCAGAATCCCAGCTTCCTCAGCCCCCAACAAAGGGAGTTAAAAGAGAAGACTGGAGTTCAAAGGTCGCAGAGGCATTAATATTCACACTGACTGAGCTCCAGGTCTGTCCCTGTGGTCCCTGCTTGTGTGAGCGCTCAGCACAATTGTCACCTTCAGGGCCACGGGGCCTGGGCTTGTGGGGCAAAAGCAGCATCAACCAAGCCACACACTCTGATCTGGATTGAAATGTTTACTTGCTACCCTGGAGTAAGACCTCACGTAAAGCCGCTATTTGAAAGGTTCAAATCAAAGCAGAAATGTTGAGTCTATTAGCCTCATGCGGTTACTCATTATTAGGCATTTAAAAACATTCAGTCTCTCTGGTAACAAAATGTGGGCTGGCTTTTTCCTTGAGCAACTCACACTAGAGTGTTTTGGTGGAAGGGCTGATGGAGGACTTTGACTTTGTTTATTTGCTTCCAACCACGGGCAAATGCCAGGTCACGGCGCTCAGTGAGTCAGGCTAGGGCTTCCTGAGAAATGTGGTGGTGGCGGGGGGGAAGTGACAGATGTCTCTGGGCTAGAGTGTCTGCTGTAAAGAATGTGACAGCAGCCCTGGCTGGAGGAGCTCAGTGGATTGAATGCTGGCCTGTGAACCAAGGGGTCGCAGGTTCAATTCCCAGCCAGAGCACATCCCGGGCTGCGGGCCAGGTCCCCAGTAGGGGGCGCACAAGAGGCAACCACACATGGATGTTTCTCTCCCTCTCTTTCTCCCTCCCTTCCCCTCTCTCTGAGAATAAATAAATAAAATCTTTTAAAAAGTGACAGCATTTTGAGAGGGCGGGGTCCACGGTCCTGGTTGCTTGGCTAAGGGCAGCAATGCCTTTCCAGGCACAGGGAGCCTGGCTGAGGTCCATCACGCGAGGGCAACGGCCGCAGCGGTCACTCACACTTGACCATGATCATGTAGACGTCGATGGTGCATATGGGTGGCTGCGGGAGGCGCTCTCCTTTCTCCAGGACGGTCGAGATCTCACTCGCCGGGATTCCATCGTAAGGCTTGGACCCAAAGGTCATCAGCTCCCAAACGGTGACCCCTGAGAGGGTGAAGGTGTGGCTTTATGAGTCAATGATCACAACACCTTGTCCTTAGTTACCACTCCTAATGTTTAAAACACCCCTGTTCCTGTGGTCTTGGGCAATGGGCTCGAGCGCGGGAGCCTCGGTTTACCTCTCTGTAAAGTGGGCGGGGACAGCATGCCTCCTAAGATACCTGTGAGGGTCCAATAAGATAACACAACTGGAATGTTCAGACAATGCCAGGCAAATAGCAAGCGTCCACAAAGAGAACGCAGGCACGCGAATGACGTAAATATGATTTATGGAGCAGGAGAGACACCCCCAGACAGCTGCCCCAAGCGACTTGGAAGAGGACATACGGGTATTACAAACAAGGGTATAAACTGGGTGTTCTAACAAAAGAAAAATTAGAAACAAAAGTCCTCCTATGTTCCTTTGGTAAACATGAAAACTCTATACTTTTTGTTTCAAAATCAAACATCATGATTAAAAAAGAAAAATCAAAGCAGTAGTAACTTTGGAATGGGCACTGTTTGTAGACCATGCTGCCGTCTCAGGTCTTCCCACCTCTGGGCCTGGAGTTCCGCGCTCTAGAAACAAACCAACGCCCTGAGGAGCTCGTCCTCACCTGGACCATGAAGGTGCCCTGCGGTGCCCCTGGAGATGACCCCGGTGGGACCGAGCCAGGGTCCCCGGACTCCAGACGGAGGGATCAGACACCGGAACCAGGCGGTTGCCCGATCTCCGATTGGCCTGATGACCCCCTTGCTTTAGAGCTGGTTTCTAGGTACAGATCACCGCAAATCCGCTTGGGTTTCCAGAGGCTGTTCCCAAACAGACTGACTGAATTAGCATACGGAACGCAGGGCTGGGACACGGAGAAAAGCAATGGTCCCGGGGCTAGGAAAGAGGTTCTCTGGTCCTTTGCAAGAAAGGTGAGCTCCTTCCCCGATGGAGGAGGCCTGGAATCGAGCGCTGTGTTTCAACGTGCACGAGGAATCCCTGCGGAAAGGCGTGCTTTCCAGGATCGGGGACAAATGGCGCGGAGGGGGCGTGTGCGTGCCTGGTCGCGGCTGTGAGTGGGGTGGGAGGCGGTGTGAATGCGCTGTCTTTTCATCTCCGAAGTGGAACACGGGGGTCCCCAATTTTATTAAAAAGTTTTGCCCTGACCAGACACTAGACAGTGAAATAACAGGAGATGTTCTTTACACTAAAAACTCAGGGTCACGATCTAACAGTTCTAGCACACAGCAGCTTTTGATCGCTGATGACAATTTCCACCCAAATGAAAAACGCGCAACCACTGTGGCGATGCTGAATTTCTGGTGCTGGCTGTGACCGTTCAAAGGCATTAAGCCACTGGATTGGAAAGGTTTTGGTTACTGGGTGGATGTGGACCTGGTGTGAGCTGTGGGTGGGCGGGGCTGGGGGGCGGTGCTGGGGGCGGGGCACAGCTGAGAGCCTGGAAAGGCGGAAGCATCATCCACCAGCCTTATCGATTCTGGTGAGGAGTTCAGATTTCACCGGGAATAAATTGGGAAACCAAAGAAGGATGTTATGCGGAGAAGGACAAGTCTGATGTGGTTAAAAATACATCCTGCCTGTTTGGGACTAGATGAGAAAGGGCAAAGCAGGAAGCGAGGAGACCCCTGGGACTCCAGCTGTGGGCGACTGAGGGGCTGGTGCCTCGGGCCAGTTGGGTGCGAGTAAAGAGGATGCTGGGCAGGGTCCAGGGCTGGGAAGAGGGCTGGTGGCCTTCTTTCCACCCGTCTTGTGGGGTAGACTTATCTTGAAAGTGACTGAAAATAACAAGGCATTAATTTCCTTATCTCACTCCCTAATTCCAAGCCTCTCCCTTCACGGGTCCATGTAAAAATCCATTTATTCTTTCACACAGCCCTCTGGCTTTGTAAAGCTAGCCTTCTCATGGAAGAGACAGACAAGAACCACAGCCAGGACAGGCCGACACGTCACAAGCAAACACGACACACGAGGGGCTGGCGGCCTTTCCGCGGGTGGCGGGGTGACTTGTGAGGCCGGAGTGCGGTCATGATGCTGAACGTGCCCGGCACGGCTGTTGACGAAAACGCTTTAGTGACACTTCCTTAAAAGGCGGGGCTTAGGAGACCCGCTATGTGGGGGTGGGGGGAGGGGAGCTAGGAAGGCTCAGGGGCGCTGGAGAAGGGGAGAGGGCTGGAGGATGGAGCTTGGGCCTGTGCAGGGACAGTGCAGTTCTCAGGGCCTGGGGGCGGAGGTGGGTGGCATTTGCAGGGGCTGGGATTTGCAGGCGTGGGATTCGCAGGGGGAATTAATTGGATCTGGAAGCCACAAGGACCTCTATTTTTGCTCTCTTCCAAAACACACATCCCCCCGGGGGCCCTTCGGCCCGGCTGCCCCTCCAAGACACAGAGCTCGGCACCGGTGCCTCCACGAAGCGCCCGCACCGCGTCAGTCCCCGCGAGCTGTGCGTCCCCACCGCAGACCCTTCCCCCTGCGGTCTCATTCGCTACCTCCCTTCCGTTCACTTCAGAGTCACGGCGAGAGGTGGGGTTTGGTTTGATTTTGCAGAAACAGGCATTTCCCAAGTCCAAGTTCTCTCTCCCCTCCCATTGTCCCCTCTTGACAAGTCCCTGACATCCGGGGATGTTTGGGATGGTAGTTGGACTCAATTTCCTGTGTCATGTTTTCTTAGCATAATAGACAGACAGCAGCTGTTATATTGCTATTAGTCATTGTCTTGGAAGAAAACGCTGGGAAGGCAGAGCATAAAATGTAACTCAGCAAACAATACGAGCCAGGGCGGCCCTGGGGACAAGGTCACCGGCTTTAGGACTTGGACTCACCGTAGCTCCAGACGTCACTTTGGTGGGTATAAATGCGGTGCAAAATAGATTCCAAAGCCATCCACTTGATGGGCACCTTGGGAATAGGAGAGACAATGTAAAAAGACAGCTATTAGCTTCTCTCTGCTGAAAAACATTAAACCAAGAAGGGACCAATTATGAGTGGCACACATGGGGAAGCCAGGCCACCCGCCCGAGCCCCCGGGCCAGGCCACTCCCAGGAGGAGGGGGCAGGCTGCAGAGGGCCCCGAACAGGACCGCTCTGCTAGGCCCAGAGCGAGCGGGCAGCTGGGGCGGCTGGCCTGGGTGCGTCCCATGGGCTGGGCGCAAGGGTTGGCAACGGGGGGCCCCTGGTCATGCCCTGGGGTCCGATCTGCCCCGTGTTTGGGGGTGCTTGTGGGGGCCATGCAGGCCAGAGTCAAACTGAGGAGGGGTACAGCTGACCCAGAACATTCTGGAAGGCCTCCCTCTGAGAGAGTCCCTGGGAGAGCCCCCAAACCTGTGCGACAGGAGGGAGCACACGCCCCATGCCGGTACCTGGCGTGCGTCCTGGCCACCCTCAGGGTCCTTGGGGACAACTCGGAGCTCTCTGAGTTTCTGACGTGTCCCCAACGGCCATGTGCCACCCAACCAGCTGTGCGCTCCCCAGCGGTCTCTCTGAAGGGGGCTTTCTCACGGCTGAAAACTAACCCCCTCAGCCCACCTGGAGAAGGAGCTGACCTCAGGCGACTGCTTTTTGTTCTCTGGATGCGTCAGAAACAGCCTTACTCACTCTCCCAGCTAATCCCAATCCCAAGCCGTCCGGCTTGCACGGACGGCAGACCCTAGCTAGACCCAGGTGCGGGTGGTGGTGGCTGTCACGTCACCCAGGACGTCCTGAGGACACCCCTCACGTCAGTCAGTAGGTCAGCGGGAGGGAAAGGGTTGCTGGGCACAAGCCGGGCCCTCACTTTGCCTCCCTCCGCGTGGTACTCTTTCTCCTCCGCGCCCAGCAGCTTGGCCAGCCCGAAGTCCGTGATCTTGACGTGCTGCGGCGTCTTCACCAGGACGTTCCTGGCCGCCAGGTCCCGGTGCACCAGGCGCCGGTCCTCCAGGTAGTTCATGCCCTGAAACACGGGTCCACACGGTGAGCATCACGGGCTGCTGACTCACTGACCCTTCCCCAGACAATCAGTCACTCGAGTTTCAAACCCGGAAGGACCAAGCAGGAGAGGACAGTCACGGAGCGGAAGCTCCACCACCAGGCGGCCACCTGGCAGGCTCCCCCGCCCTGCACTGAGCCAAGCTGGGCGGCGGGTGGCCAGAGGCTTCCCAGTGTCCCGAAGGCGCACTCCCAGCTCGGCTGCCCCTCCCCATCTCCCTGCCAATGCAGAAGATCTGTCCAGTCTTATTGGCACACGCGTGCTCTCTCTCTCATTTTACATGGAAGCCACATGGCTATCGAATTGGCTTCTACAAGGTGCCACGTCCCATGCCCTCCCTGGCAGCCAGAATCTCTGCTGCAAGAGGAAGCAAGAAGCACAGCTGGAATGCAGTGCCCGACACTCCCTGAAGTCCCGGGAACATCGCCCTGAAATCCGGCCCTTGCCCCTGCACGCCCTCTGGCCGGCAGGTAGGGCCCCTCCTGGCCTCCTCTCCTGCTTGCTCGACGCCCGCCTCCCTCAGTCCTACTGAGCTCCGGGCTGTTGACACGGCTGGCTGCCCTCCCCTCTGTGCAGGGCCAGGTGGCAGGAGGGCCAAGCTGCGGGGCAGGGCCAGCTCTGCAGACATCGCCCACCCCCCCCACCCCGGGCCCGCGCCCCGCCCTCTGAGGCCAGGACAGGGGACACTTGCGCCTCCTTTGGGGCTGGCACGCATGGACTCTGCAGCAGGGCGTGGGCGCTACGGGAACGCTGCCCAAACCATGTGGAAAGGACACAGTGGGCTTCGCCAGCTCCGCTCCGCGGGGCTCGCTCACTCGCAGCCGTGGCGGGAGCTCATTTTGGTGCAACAGCAGAGACAAAATTCCCCCACCCCAATTTTCTGGCAAATTCTTTGCTTCCTTTCACATAGATCTTAGGTGAGAGTTTATTAGTTAGCTTGTCCTTGCAGAGTGAAATTTAAAACACTTTCTTCCTGGAGCAGAGCTAGGCATCCTAGCAAACTAGCATTAGTCTCGGAGGGCTCTTTCCAGGCCTATAATGTTTTTCTTTTCTTCAGGAAAAAATGATTGATTCCCATGTTTCCGCTCTTCCTGGTATTAACAGAAAGGCCCCGAACAAACGTTTAAGATGCCATGTGATTTAAACGCTTGCCTTCCTAAGGTTTTTCTGGTGCCAGGACATAAGACCCACGGGGCTCAGGTCTCCTCGAGAGGCCGGCAGGCAGCCAGTGGGGTCTCCGGGACAGCAGGGCCACTCGGGCTGCTATTTACAGCGACACGCGCGGAGAGAGGGGGCGGGGCGGGAGCTGAGAGAATGCTCCTGAACAGAGGGCTCACTCACTGCGCCTGGCCCCTCTCCGGGGGCCCCCGTCCCCCCGGCTCCTTTCATGGCCTCAGTCTCCCCTGAGTCCGGGGACCCGACTGTGACGTGCGCCGGGTCCACCCGTCTCTTACGATAGACGAAGGTTTCCGTTTATTGAACGCGATGGACGCACCCATTCAAAAAGGGTTAGTGATACCTCGCCTCTCGCCTGGCTGGGCCCAACGTCTATATTCTGGGCTGTATTCCCTCAATGTTCTCTCCTCTCTCTCCTTCCTCCTCCTCCTCTTCCTCCCTCTCCTCCTTTCTCCCTCCCTTGCTTACTCTCGTCTCCCCTACCCAGTATCTCATTCACTGCCTCTGTGGCATTTCCTGACCACAGCTCTGTGGGAGCGACGGCACCGTGTTGCACATACAAATAGTAACAATCCCGCTAAGTCCCTGATACAGAAACCCATCATCACCTCTCCCTTCATTTAACGTTCATGGTGTTTCTGTGAGTGCCTTAAACCCCTGGGAGGACTTCAGAGGGCATTTCTGGCTTCATTTAATTATCATCACTCACGTTCATCCTGCCTCTTTGAAGCCCCAAAAGGGAATCGAGTACACTGGCTGTGCTTTTACCAAAGTTTACTGAAGAATGAAAGAACAAACGCATAAACGATAATAGCAGCTGACAGATTTGAACGCTCAGGATGTGCCAGGCATTTCAAGCCTGTTCTCGAAGGCTCTGGAAGTCCCAGCAGCCACATGGCCCCCCCGAGAGCTGACCCTGAAAGTCCAGGGACTGGGGCGCTTCACCCACCGAGTCCTCTGAGCCCCCAAGACCACCATCCGGACCGTGTCCTGAACTTCCTGCTGGGGCCTCCAAGGTAAACGCGCCTGCTGGCCCAAGGGCTGCTTGGGATGTAAAAAAACCCAAACCAAACCAAAACAAGGACTAACTGCCCAGCCCGTTGGCCCCGAGCCACGGAGCAAGTCCATGTTGCTGTGTAAACCTCATAAACGGAACTGAGCTCCACCCCACCCCCTTCCCACTCGCGGGTCCTTATAGGACCAGAGCCAGTTGAATGAACTGCGGTGTTTTCTCAGGAGCAGGCTTGGGAAAGGGGAGGAAAGGGCAGCTTCCACATTCTGGAGCCCACAGCTCCCCAGCCAGAGGGCTTTGAATCAGAGATAATTCTGGGACACGGAGATTAGGCTTGTTTGAACTTAGATAAGACTAGAGTCTTCGGTCTCTGTCCCACACTCCAGAGGCACTTTGAAAGGCCACCCCGGTGCCCAGCAGGGTTATACTTTAACCAGCCCCCGAAGATAAGAGCCGTGACATTGCTCGTGAACTCAGGAGCTCAGCAGAGACGCCCCAGGAAGCAGTACCGGCCGCGCCTCCGCGGCCCCGTGGGAACTCATTTCCTGAGGCGAGATCCTGACTCCCGTTCAACTTAACGTATTTATTTTTGTTAATTACCGCAGGCCGGCCAGGGTGAATTTTGACAAACGGAGGTTAAAGGGAATCGGAGGAGCCAGCCTAGAACCTCAGCACACAGAAGCAGCCCTGGCACGCGTCCCACGACAGGGAAGATTTCTCTGGTGGGGGCGGCTGTGCTGGACATTCAGGCATGCGCTTCCCCCGGGGCTCCGCATCCCACGGCCGGAGTGAGAGAAACCGCCGCGTGGAAACGTCCAGGCGTGCGCCAACGTAGCGGACAGGGCAACGGCAGGAAGCGAGAGTGGACAGCTCCCCAGCGGCTGCGCCCTGCCCTCCCAGGCGGCCGGACGGCGCCCGAGGGCCCTCCTGCAGACTGGTCGCCCGGCACCAACATCCTGCCGGGGGGGACGGGAGGACAGCTGGGCTCCCCGGCCTGTGGGCACTGTCTTGAGCGACAGGTCAAGTGGGGATGAAGCGTCGGGGAGCAGGGCTGCCTGGCGCCAAATCCCACGTGTGCTGCTGGCCTGCCCGAGGCCTGGGCCAGCGCCTTGGACACCCATGCCTCCGTTTCCGCCCCCGTGACGTGTACTTGGAGAATGGGTCCATTGAACACTGTTTTTTTAGGAGGGACACACTTTATATCCCATTTGAGGCCGCATTAGCCCCCCTCCCCCCCATTATTACTAGTGGGGGACTCAGCAGAAAGATTAAACGCTGGGCTTTTTTTCCTGTTCTACACCCCAGAGGGGTCACCGCCACTGCTTGCTGCACCGCTGTACGTGCAAAACCCAGCAGGCTCGGAACGTTTCCTACTGACCCACTGCGGAGTCAAGGCCCGGTCAGCCCCCTGAGCTAGCGCCGCCGGACGGCTGGCACGCATTGCCGCATTTACAGTGAAAATACCCCCGTGCGGACTCCACGTCTGTCGGCCACACGCTCACGGGGAAGCCCCTACTGCAGGGTCTGTGGTCCTCGCAGGCGCGTGACCTAAGCCAGGGGGCCACGGAATGTTACGAATTACAACACTGCCCAGCCCCTTGCCTGATTACACCGCGTATCCCTTCACAGTGTTGTAGATACAAGGGCTGGCGTTGACCCTTTTTCAGTTTTGTCTGGAGGATTGAACTGAGCAGCGATTGGTGCTTACAAGGCCGGTGGTCAGCAGACGACAGCCAGACGCGAGCCCCCTTCTGAGGCCGTCCCCGGCCCCGACAGTGCTCTTCACACCTCCCCAGGGCCTGCCCCCAAGGGTCTTAAGCTTCGATCATCTGTCTGGGGACTCAGCGCCGCGAGATCTTCACCTGGGTCAGGTGATGAGGACGCGCTGTTGGCCAAAAGGCGTGGGCACACGCGCCCTGCATCGCAGTCCGGACAGCTCTGTCTGCTGCAGGACGTGGCAATGGGGCGACTGCGGCGTCTACGGGGATGTGCGTGATGCTGTAGGGCGGTTTTCCAAACCGAGGCGACGAAAGGTTCTTTTTGGATTAGAACGTTGTACGACATGACTGTGCCACCTAATGCATTTTGGGATTTACTAGCTGGCTCACAGAGCCAGAGAGAGGGGGTATGCTCTCTGAAGTCCCTAAGTCACTCCCAGTAAGTGACAGCCACCCGTGACCTCAAGAGCCAGGAGTTTAGGAACCTACGACCTTCCCGATAGGCGGGCAGGTAGGCGACGCCACGCCGAGCTCCTGAGAGCGAGGCCGCGAGGCGGAGAACAGGAACCCCCTCCGCCGTACGCGACCAGGGGTACGGCTGCCTCCCGCGCTCTGAGTTCTGCCTCTGTTTCCTCCCTTGGCCAGTTCTATTTTTCTTCCCCCCCCTTTTGCTGGGGTGAGACGATTTTTATTTGTCCTCTTGGCAGTGTGGCTGGGACAATAAACCAGCTTCCCCTCAATATTTAGACAACTTCCCAAGATAGCCCGTGCCTCGGTGAAGCAACGCAGGACATTTACAAGTCATTAAATCCCACTTCGAAAAGGCCAGGAGTTTAGTGTCTGGTCAGCCACTAAGTGTTTCTGGGGAGTTAGTTTCACTTAAAACTTTTACCAAGAAAATTGTTTAATACTTAGATAAATAGTCCGTAACCCAAGAGCAAATTTCTCTCTTCGCAGTCGAGAAAACGATTCTTCCCCACCCTCCACTCTGGGGACAGACGCTCCTCACTGCAGCTACTGGGACATGGCGTCTCTCGTGAATGAGAAAGTAAAAGCGTCACAGACTAAGGGTGAATGGCCACTTGCAAATTGGACCTGCGCGCAGAGCGATGCTCGACACACAAGAGGCGGAATGCTGGGCTTACGTAAGAGGCTGACCTTGTGCGTGACACTCTGTATAGGGGGAACCAGCTTGGAAAACTTTCGGGCCCAGGAAACGCAACTCGGGAACTGGGGCAGCTCCCCTGTGTCCGGGGGCCGGGGGAAGCCGAGCGCGTCCCTGTGGCGGGCACTGTCATTTGTAGGAGAGGCTGCTCTAAGTAGGTGCAGAACTAGACTGAAACAATGTTTCCGGTTACGTTTCTGTCATCACCCCACCCACGTTAGCCACAATCTGGGGAAGGGGACATGAGTGAGCGCCGGAGCTGTGGCAGGTGCTTCGCAGCAGTGGGCAGGTGTCATCCCCCGACCTGGGCAGACAGGTGGCAGAATCCCACTACAGCCGAGAGGCTTGGTGCAAAAAGACAGCTGCCTGCCTGAGGTCCCCTGGCGAACACAGGCCGGAATCAAGATTTAAATCTGCGGCCCTCTGCCGGGAATTGTAAGCCCAGTTCTGCATTGGGCACTGTGACCCATCACGTGACGGGTCACGTTTGGGGAGCTGCGGACCGAGATGAGACCATGAGAGAAAGGGGCCAACTGGCTGGTGAGCGCAGCCTGAGGAATCAGGCCGGGGAGGTGGCTGCGGTGTGCAGAGTTCTCGAAGGCCCGCCGGGGGGCAGGGTGCCACTGGGGATCCAGGCACATAGGGCTCACCCCCCGGGGGGGTTCGCGGGCACCAACTGCAGCAAACAAGGAGATCCCCCAGATCTTCCCGGGAAGTGTTCTGTGCTGCAGAGAAAACAGGGCAAGGTCCTGGAGGCTGCCTGGGAGGGGGCCACGCGCTTGCTTTCCTGCCGTGGACGATCAGGGGCCAGAGCTGGGGGAGAGTCTTTGGGATGGGGCGTCAGGACATGATTAGACCCTCAGCGACAGTTCTACATTCACTCAAGCCTACGCAGGACTCGCCACTGCCTCCCCAGGGTGGCCGCTGTCGTGGGGTGGGCAGTGTGCCCCAAATTCCACGTCTACCTGGAACTTCAGAATGGGACCTTATGTGAGCAAAAGGTTTTAAAACACTGAATTGATTAAAGATCTTGAGATGAACTCATCCTGGATTCAGGGATGGCTGGTGTCCTTTCACAGAAAGGGGAGGGCCATCCGGGCACAGACGCAGGGACGGCGTCAGGGGAGGGCGGAGGCGGAGGCTGCGGGGAGGAAGGGCTCTCCCCGGAGCCACGGGAAGGGACGTGGCCCCCTGACACCCTGACTTGGGACTTCCGACCTGCAGAGCTGTGAGCGAACCAGGGTCGGCGGTGGCAAGCCAACAGGTTGGGGGTGGTCTCTTGTGGCAAACGTAGTAATGAATATAATTACACCAAAATCACAAGCATTCTCGTGAAGCCACGGCATCTGAGACGGACACACACACACACGCACACACACACGCACACTCTCTCTCTCTCTTCCAGGACCACGATCTAATAATGACATGTAATGCCTCTGCTTGGGGACCAGGGCTGTGGCCACGGGCATAATGAGAACACCAGGCAATGGCCAAGGTCAGAGAACGCGCCCTCTGCGTTCCTGGGGTGAGGGGGGTCCCCGGTGGGCACAGCAGAAGAGGAGGCACCCAACAACGTGGGACTGCATAGCCCCGTGCCTCTCTCTGGCCCTCCGGGGAGGGCCCCCTGCTGCCTAGCCGAACGGCCCGGAACCTCACTGTCAGGAGGGAAGCCTGCGTCACCCAGAGCCACCGCTCCTGGCAAGAGGCTGCCTTGTGGTGTCACAGGCAGCTACCAGCCGAGTGGTGCTCAAAATATGTTTGGTTTGTCTCCTAAGTCCCTTTCCACATCTGTGGGCTGTTGCGGGAGCAAGTCCAGAGCTGTCCCAGGGGCAGCTGAGCAGAAGCGATGGCCGCCGTCGACCGCCGGTGCCGGGAGGAGCGAGCCGCTGGACGAGGCGTCGCGGGCGGTCTGCTCCCTGACTTACCCTCAAACCAGTACCCCGCCCGAGGGAGACGCGGGGCCGTGACTGATGGGGGGCTCAGAGAGGGAGCCCCCCACAAAGTCCTGAGTTCAACAGAGTAAAATGCACACCCACCATCAGAAGAGAATTCAGCAAGTTGGGGGGCAGGCCTCGGATCAAGAGGGAGAGGTTCGAGGTGAAAGAGAATGTCCCTCAGAAGCTGGACGAACAGTGCACTACCCGGCTCGTGGTTCTGTTCCTGAGATGGGATGGGGGCAGGGGGGCACCTGGCTCTGGATCAAGCCTGTTGTCAAAGGGACGTGTACGGAGCCTGAGCAAAGCGGCGGAAGCTGCTGTTGGTCCCCCTCTACCTACACAACGGGCCTTGAACCCAGCACCTGCCCCATCCATACAGCCACACCACCCCGAGTCCTTGTGGCCTCAGCTTGTTATCAAATCCTGAGGGGCGGGGGGTGTGGGGTGGGGAGGAAGGTAGGGAGGGGGACACAGATGAACCCCAGGCACATGAGAGCACTAACACCCTACCATCCTGAGCACCCAACGAAGAGAAAATTGCTCAAACGTAGCTGGAGAATGAGGTTTTCAACGTGCAACGGGACAGATGCAGAAGACAACTCAATTTCATCCAAAAGAAAGTATGGCTCTCGCTGAGGATCGCATGTCCCAGGGGCTGAGGGAAGGGCAGCCTGAGGCGGGGGCGGCAGGTCCCGTCTGATGGGACTGCGGGGGCCGCCCGCTCCATGCGCCCTCCCGGACCGGGCGCCCTGCGGGTTTACCTTGGCGATCTGCACACACCAGTTGAGCAGGTACTGGGAGCCGATGTTGTCCTTGTGCTCGCGGACGTAGTCCAGCAGGCAGCCGAAGGGCATGAGCTGCGTGATGAGCTGGACCGTGGAGGTCAGGCAGATGCCCAGCAGGCGGCACACGTGGGGGTGGTCCACGGTGGCCATCACGTAGGCTTCCTGCGAGAACGAGAGGACAGGGCGGCGTCAGCAAGGCTCCCCACGGGCCAGAGGGAGAGGCCGGCAGACCTCGCGCCAGGTCAGAAAGCACGAGCGTGATTTTGAGCTTGGGAGTGTGTCTGTGGGGCGGACAGGCTGGGCATTTCCGAAGGGACTGCTCCGTCTCAGGCTGTGAAATGGCCAGGCACAGTGTGGAGCCAGTACCTGCGGGAGGCACACAGAGATTCCCCTTCCCGAGGGCCCCGGGCAAGCATCGCCAAGACATCGGTTGAGCAGGAGACCCGACGTCTCTGAGTCCGGGCCGTGCCGAGGGCTCGTGATGAAGCCTTCCGCCTGAGGCTAAGATGCTGCCAGGGTCTCCTCGCTAGCCATTGGCACCGCGCTGGTGGGACGGCGGGAGCTCCGGCAGAGGTCAGCTGAGCCAGCGGGTGGCGAAGGAGACTCCCCATCTCAGCAGAGCGACTGCGCCCCTGCCTGGGGGCAGCTAGGGTCCTTGGGCCACCTTGGCCGAGTGGAGGCGAAGGAGCCCTTTCCCGGTGCCCGCCTCAGGCTTTGGGAGGGACAGCGGGCACTGAGTCCCCAGGGATGGCAGACTCTGCCGGCTGCCCAGGGCTCACTGTGAAGGGCCAGGGGTCCTGTGCTGCCCCTGCCTGGGTGTCGGGGCAGGGGGACCATGCTGCTCTGCAAAAGGCACGCCCCTGCCCCCGCAACCCAGGAAGTCCGCCGGCCGCCAGGCAGGAGTCTCTGACCCCGGTCAGTGAACAGTTTATTTTAACCCTCTGCTATTCTTGGGTAGAGGAAGCCGCTGTATTTATGGCCTTGCACAGAACAAGGCCCTCTCTTCTCCCTGAGTGAGCACCAGGGAATCCTCCTGGGTTTCCACCCATCAATTCTCCCTCTTGCCCTTTAACACACAAAGCGCGATGGCTTTTTCTTAGGCCGTGAAAGGGGCCATGTGGTCTGCAGGAGACAAGCCGGAGGCTCCTCCGGGCCCATGGCCACTCAGCGGGGGACGGGGAGAGGGGCAGCGGGGCTCTTTGCAGAAGTGGAGGCAGGTGGGGCTGCAGGGGACGCGAGGTGGGGGACAGGAGACAGGCGGGCGGGCCTTAGCCCCCCTTTCCCGGGTCTCACTGCCCCTGGGAAGCCTGGGGGCCCACGTTCGAGCCCCTCTGCTCCTCCTGCCTGGTCCCGTCAACTGCCCCTCAGGCCCCCACCCCAACCCCCACCCCACTGGACGGCCTGGGCCTGTTCCCTCTGCCTCCGGCCCCCTGCTGTCTCCTCTCAGGAGGGGACTCTCTGACCCCCGGCTCAAGTCCAGCTCCCCTGCCATCTCCCGCTTCCCTTTGGGGGAGCAGGCTGTGCAGGGCGGGGAAACTTGAAGTTACAGACGCAAACTCTCTGGCTGCCTGGAGCCGCAGGGCGGCGGGCCCAGCGGTCCGTGGGAGCCCCATGCTTCCGAGCTCGCCCCAGGAGATGCCCTCACATCTGTGTGGGCCCAGAGCAGCTCCTCCCCAGCGCGCCCACCGCGGGAGGGCTGCACATCCGCTCCAGGGCCGCGCCCAGAGCCCCACAGCGCCGGACCGACCGCAAGGCCAGGCGCCGGTTATTTATTGCCTCGATTTCCCCCGCGTGTGCTGACACAGCAAGTGCGGTCAGCAGTTTGGCGGGAGTGCCTGGATCCTTCCCCCTTTTCCCCTCCCAGTGGTGCCTGCTGTGCCTCCAGGCACAGAGCGGCCTGAGGGACGTCCGTGTTGAATGGCACCGAAATCCTGCAGAGCAGGGAAGTCAAAGCAGATCAGAGGCCACACGCCTTCCGCGAACAACAGCAAAAATGCTGCAGGTTTCCCCCGGGGACGCAGAACTTTGGTCTGGATGCTCCCCTGAGCGGCCAGGCTCTCTCCTTCAAGTGGAGCCTGCACTTCTTTCTATTTAATTTTTTAAAATGTAATTCTCACCAAAGGATGTGTTTATTGATTTTAGAGAGAGAGGGAGACAGAAACAGAGAGAGAGAGAGAGAGAGAAATATTGATTGGCTGCCTCCACAGGTGCCCCAGCAGGGATCGAACCCACAACCCCGGTCTGGGCCCTGACCAGGAATTGAACCTGCGACCTTTCGGTGCCTGGGATGACGTTCCAACCAACCGAGCCTCCCAGCCAGGGCAGGGTCGGCATTTCTACTTCTTTTTTTAAATCTCATGAACTTAATAGCACCACATTAAAGAGTAGATGTTTCATACTTGTGGACATTCTAGCTTTTTTGTGTGGACATTCTCACATAAAGAGTGAGGACTGGCGAGGACCTGAGATGCTTTCCCTCTGAGGCCCAAAGAGGGGACTGAAGGCCAGCGAGGCAAATGGCCGGCCTGAGGCCCCAGTTCCTAGTGTGAGAGCTGGGGCCACACGCGGGCCTCCGGCCGGGCGCTCTGGCTGAAGCTCTACCAGGAAACTGCGGACGCGGCGGCACACAAGGCTCGCAGGGAAATCTGCTTTTCATTCTCTTTCCACGGCCTGCCCTAAGTTTACCCTGGAAAGCCCATGGAAAAATGAACAGGCCACGCGATTGCCAGAGAAGCACAAATCACGCCCTCCCCCGAGTCTGGGAACCGGGACAACCACAACACCGAAGCAATCCTCCGGCGGCTCCTGCTTTCTCAAGATCTGGGGAGCTTTGGGAACAGGCTGTATTCGTTGTGGAGGGGAGAGAAATCCGCTGCGGAGCTGCTCGAGCAGCCCATCTGTTGTGGGGCCTGCGAGGCCCGGACCGGGACTGGGACTCAGGGAGAGCGCACAGCGGTGGGGGTCGGGCCACACAGAGCCTGGCGCCCCGCCAGGTCCCCTGCTCCCACTAGAATCCGATAAAACAGCAGAGCCGGGCCGTGGCTTCCGCCCCACCCCCCAGGCACAATGGGGACGCGGCTAGGTCACATGTGCTGTTCAGTGTGCGCACAAGTTAAAGTGAGCTTTGTTCTTGGCTGTTTATTTTGGAGTCTCCAAGGTGCAGTGACCTACAGCAGGCTCGCCTGGTATTCCACAGCAATCTCCGCACCCGCTGCCCGGCCAGGCCCGGGCGAGGCCCGCGCTCAGAGACCCCGCGAGGGCGGGTGTCGCATGCACGTGGCACGGGCCTCTCTGGGGTCCTGGGGACCGTGGAAGTCCGCTACTTTGTCCCGGTTCCTTCCCTCTCGCTTGTATTGCCCATCTGAGAACTACTGCATGTTAAGAGCTGGGAGAAAAGATTCCACTGGATGTTAAAATCCTTCAGCCGAAGGATAAAGAGCAGGTGCCCCGTGTTTCTGAAACTCGACCAGTTAATTAAGCCACCGAGAGCAACGTCAGCAGAGGCCACAGGGCTCTGTGCTGGGTGTGGGCGGCCTTTATCTTCCCTCTGCCCCACAAAAGCAGACTTCCTCCAATTTCAGGGGTCCTGGGGGCCCCTTTTCGGGGAAGACTACTTCCTCCCCGCAGTGTAGCTCTTGTCTTCAAAATCGCCCTTACCCTGCATCGTAAATGTCGAAACTCGCATTTCAACGGCATTTTGTGACATGTATTAGAAGGCCTTGCATGGGTCTACAATGAAGCAGGTTGGCAAACTCGGCAGGAGGGCAGAGTTGTGAGGGGACAGGCTTCGCAGATGTGCCGTCCCCTCTGGTTGTCCCCTCTGGTTCTTGTGGTGGCTGCGTTAACAGGAGCTGACACTGTGTTAATAGGACTTCACATTAATTTGTGAACCATTACGACGAAAGCCAATTTTGTTTGATAGGGATATCGCCAACGAGGGAGGCTTTCGACCGCGCTGTGTGAACGTGTCACCTTCCATTAAGAGGTGCGCTGGGGCTGATCTGCCCCACGGTACCGAGGCGGCTGCGGCGAGCCCACCGTATCCAGACACGCTGAGAAAGGCCATGTTGGCCTTGTTGACTATATGTTCTCCCTGTGGGTCAGAGACCTGAGGGGGGACCACCACATTTGACCTCCGTCCTCCTTGGCTGTGAGATGAACAAAATTCCTCAGATGCCTGGGTCCTTTTCCTTCCTCTTTGCCTCTGTTTCCCTCACCTCCTGCTGAGCCCGTTCACCTCTGGGTTCATGGGCTCTGCCTTGGGACAAGAGCAAGAGGGTTCAGCAGCTCCCAGCCAGCAGAGGCCCGTGACCCCCACGCCCCGGGGGGCAGGGGGAGCCCACGGGGGCTACCCGAGCCTCGGCTTGGAGTGGCCGCCGCCACACTCCAGGACGGCCCCTCGCGGCTGCCCCGAGAGTCTACAGCCCCTGACTGGCTCGTCAGGGGCCACAAGATAAACCTGACGAGCTCAGGGGAGGCCTGCGTGGGGACCGAAAGCAGCCACTGAGGGTGCGGATGGTCCGAGAGTAAAAGTTCCTGACTGAATGCGAGTCACATCGGGTAGTCACGTCCGAGGCCCACGGCCCCCCTGACGAAGGCCCGCCCTCGCCCGACAGGAGGCTGCCTGTTGTCTCGTAATCCCCTTTTCTGGATCCTTCAGGGCGTGATCTCCCACCAGAAGGGGTGGGGGACCCCTCGTTGTTACCTGGTTGCCCAAATACCGTCTCTATGAGCTGTGAGTGTTAAGGACCTATCTTGCGCCCACAGGAGAAAAGAAGTATGTTAGAGAAGAACATGTCTCTTCACTTTACTTTATACCCCACCCCTGAGAGGACCTGGCTTTGCTTTCCCCGCCCCCTTCGCAAGCCACCGCCAACGGATTTCATGGAGCTCCCCCTACGTCTCCCCCTTTAACTCCAATCCATAAAATAAGTCACAAAGCTGTCACGCTCCGGAGCATTTTCTCAATCCCTTGAGGATTTTGCTTCCTGGCAACTGTCGTCAGTTTGACTCGAATAAACTCAAAACAATTCTCGGCAGCTTTGGACATTTTTTACGTCCACGCAAGTGAAAACATAATAATCTGTGGGACATTCCAAAGCCTTCTCCGTCAAGTGACAAGCTGACAATGCTGAAGAGGAACAATGAAATTGTTTGGGGAGAAAACACAGAAGGTGGGAGACCCTTCACAGGGTTCATCAAGCATCGTACTGTTAATTCTAGGCACCTTTAAAAAGTCACTTCAAAGATTAGATACCTCAACCGGGCAAAGTGGCCCCACATTTCAGGGGCAGAAGTGACACTGAGCTGGAGCCCTACCCCACCCCCGTGAAGCTGAGCTAGTTCTTCAGGCCTCTATCGCTTCACTGGCAAAGCGCTGAGCATCAGCCTAGGCCGGAGTTTGCCGGGCGCGTGCGTGTGTACAAAGCAGCTCGTACGGGGATGAGCCCCGGGCCGTGGCCTAGCGACTGAGTTTCCATCCTTGTTGCAGAGCCAACAGAATGGAAGGGGTGAGTCTTCTCCCTAAAAGAAGGCCTGAGAGGGACGGGTACCACCTTGAGCGAGAATAAACAAGGGATGGGAGGTGGCCCTTTAGTTTGGAACGTGGTGACGGAGAAAGTCTAATACAGAGCGACATGCTGCCAGCCACGAGAAAGGTGGCTTCTGACATCCAGGCCTGTGGACAAGTCCAGAACAAAGCAGAGACTCACATCGAGAATTTCCTTGTTGGCTTTCGGAGATGTGGCTTCTCTTAATTCCTTGATGGCCACAGGGATTTTCACCTTCTCGCCCTCTGGAATCCACAGCCCCTATGATGGAGAGAGAGGGGAGACATGAACAGGCAGTCATTATGCCCTGCAACATGGGACTTTTTAGTGACACTGTCCGAGAAGGGCAAGGGACAAGGAGTTCAGCGCTGCACTCCAAGGCCCTCGGCGCCGGGAGTCTCCTCAGCTCAGCAGCTCTTTAGCTATCACGTTCCTTGGATCAGAGTAGTTAGATAAAAAACCCGGCCAGCGATGAAGCCAGGGTGTGTCACTTCTCCTAGAACTCTAAGATACGGCATCTAGGCCTGATGGAAATCAGACTTTACGCAGAGGGTCTAGGAAGAAAGAATGAAGAGGGAGCTCTGGGTCCTGGGCTTTATTTGGATGCTGCCCTCGAGTCCCCAGCTGGGTTACCCGCCCCCTAAAAGATCAATGCCATCCTCTGTAAAAACATCCATGGACCAGTCTCCCAGGGCCATTCCTTTGTCACTGTGATTATAGAAGAGTTCCTCTCGACAACTTGGGAAAACCGTTGGCATTTCCCAAACCCTCGGTGACACGCACAGCTGATGACGTAAGCAAGCGGCAGCCGAGGACTCTGCGTCCGCTGGCCCAGAGCGTGCGGGGCTGCCGGCCCGAGTCCCCAGAAGCACCTGTGCGGCGTCTCTGGTGGCCTCACCTTGTACACGGTGCCGAACGCACCGGAGCCCAGCACCTTGATCTTCTTGAATTCTGTTTCCTTTAAGATCCTCAGGAGAGCTTGGTTGGGCGCTTCTCCGCTGGGCGTGAGGGGCTCCACGAGCTGAAAGGGACAAGCGTGAGTGACAGTGCGGGGCCGGGTCAGGTGGGGCCAGACCCCCAAGCGTGGTCGTGCTCCAGCACAAAGAACCCGCAGGGCCCCCTTCTCCGAGGCACTTTGTAAAAGGCCCAGGTGTCCCTGAACAGGACCGTCCCAGGTCAACAAATTCAATCCTATCTCTGTCTCTAGGCCAGTTAGTTGAATGGAGAACATTTGGGTGAGGCACCGGGTGGGGGGGGCGGTCATTGTGGTCGCCTGCCGGGCACCTAACACAAGCGCCACAATGCCACAGCGACTGCGGGGGGCTCTCTTCTCCGGAGCGGCTTCCGACACTGCGGGACACAGGTGCCGGGCGAGGGCCACCCTGGGGAGCGGCGGCGTCAGGAATAAAACCGTCCGAAGCAGAGCTCAGAGAGGAACAGCCGCCGGTGTGGACAAGGGCCCTTTCCAAAGGCACTGCTCCTCGACCACAGCAAGGAGAGCCTTCCCAGGCGGTCAGGAGACGCCTGTGCACAGGGCCGTCTCCTGTGCACGGACGCGGGGCCTGTCCTCTCCGCAGGACTCCGCAACCAGGCTGAGTGACTTATCCTAGGGACACTGCCTGGCCCTGGACAGATGCGCCGACAGGCAACCCACTGGGTAACTGGCTATTCACAAAGCAGGCAGAGTGACACAGCGACATCTGCGAAATACAAAGTGCCAACGTCTGCACAGGAGAGTCCTCCTTCCTGCCGGGGGCGGGCGCGCTCACCTCCCGCTCCTGCAGCAGCCTCCGCAGCGTGCGCTTCCGGACGATGTGGCGCCTGCGCAGGAACAGGCCCACCCCGAGGGCCACCACCAGCACCAAGAGGAGGCCGCCCACGATGCCCGTGGCGATGGATGGGATCTTGGGCCTGGAATGAGGTGCAGACACACAGGGAGGTCAGGTTTGTTGACAGCCTTCATGCCATGTGCATGGGATGTATTTCCTGCGTGTATGGGTGCGCTGACACCATTTAAAACTCTCAGAAAGGGGAACGCTGTACAGCTTCCCAAGGGAGGGAGGAAAGCGAAGGATTCTGGGCGGTGTTTCCAGCTCCTGCCCTCACCTGCGCTGCCTGCCTGGCTTCTTTGCAGTTTTTAGAGGGAGGTGTTACCTGGACCTTTCCACATGATGGTTATATTTTAATCTGTTAAGACAACACATTAATTCAAAAAGTAGCTCAGGCCCTGGCTGGTGTGGCTCAGTGGGTTGGAGCATCATCCCGCCCACCAAAAGGTCACGGGTTCGATCCCTGGTCAGGGCGCAGACTTAGGTTGCGGGTTCCACCCCCGGCTGGGGGTGCGTACGGAAGGCAACCAATCGATGTGTCTTTCTCACATCGATGTTTCTCTTTCTCTTTCCCTTCTTCTCGCTCTAAAATCAATAAAGATATTAAAAAAAAAACCCAAAGTAATTCAGACATCAATAATGGCTTTCACGTGAATTTGCATGTATCCCTGGAGTATCACGTGCATCGGAAGCAGAGCACTCTGCTGACATGAGACACGCATGTCTGCTGGCCAGGCTGGGTGATGGGGCCCCTACACGGATGCTGAGACTCCTCCAGGGGTCTGGGGCTTCGAGATGGGCCCACGGTCCCGTGAAAGGAGCTTGGAGGGGGCTATACCATGACAGGGTTTCCCAGCGAAAGCCCCATGGTCACAGAGGAGGGAAGTCGCCTTGCAGCCTGAAACCTCTTGGATGAGCTTGTGCCTGATTTCAGAGAGAGCAGAAGCTCAACTCTCAGGTTCTACACCTTCCCAGGGAGAGAGCTGTCTGAACGAGTCAATTCTGGACTTAGGATATAATGTTATTAGTTGTCAGTATCTATGCCATTTCAGCTTCCCCAAACTTCATCTTTTCAGGTACAAATGTTACCAAGTATCAAAGATTAATTGGCAGCATCACTTGCATGTAAAAAAAAAAAAAAAGGGACATTGTTCTTACAAATTTCTACTAAGTGGGTCAAATTTACTTCATGAAAATGATATAAAGTATCACTTTCATCTTAGCAAGTACAAGAGCCACCTCCCCCACCGTACCATCTTGCCCACCAGCAGATAGGGCTGGAATTCATGGGTTTTTACTATTTTGAAGGGAACACTGAAAGATACATGAGAAATACATTGTTACGGAGTATGTGTCCCACGTGGAGTAGTAGTGAGGGCCAGTCCAGGAAAAGTGCAGGAAAGTGCATGGAAAAGAGTAAATATGACCAAGGTTGGCCGCTGCCTGGTTCCCAGGTGGGGAAGTGATGGAAATCCTCATTATTAAGATGCTGATTGGGGCATAAAGAAAAGGAGGAAGTAGTTAGCCGTCCCTGTTACTGTCAGTGAAAAGGCAGGGACGGAAGGAAATCTTTATCTTGCTTCCTTTCTGGTCTTGAATGTCTCCCTTGATAGTAGGAGGGACTTGTCATCATCGCTAATTTGCAGCGGGGGTGGGGGAGAGTCAGCCGACAGGCAGAGAGGGGCTCGGCAGCCACGACCGGAAATGGTAGGGGCTCCTGGAGGTTCGGCTGGCGTCGGGGCTATCGGGGTGGCGAACAGGTGGCTGGTGCCTAATTCCGACTCCTTCCCGACATTACTAATGGGTAACCCCGCCCTTTGCTGCGGAGTCTGAGCAGGGATCCCCGGAGCTGCTGGTCTCGGGGCAGCGTTTCAGCCAGCGGCGGCACACCGCCCCGCACTGAAGTGCTGATGGAGGTCGCGTGGAGCAAAGGAGGTCAGCAGACAAGTCTCCCCCAAGCGGGAGTTTCGGCATGGAACGGAAAGGTCCCTGAAGCACCGGTGTGTGACAAGGCCAACAGGGCCAGGGAGGAAGAGAAGCTAGAAGAAGAGAAGGATCCAACAGCATAGGCGTGACAAGAAAGTCCAGGGACTGAGGTACTGGGCACAGAGCACATGCGTCCGGCGCTCCTCCATGAAGCACCCCGGCAGAGCCCGTGCTGGGGACACAGTGCTGGCCAGAGGTCGGAGCCTGCCACGGCGAGGGCGGTCAGCAAGGCGGCCGGCCAGGCGCAATCTTGGCCCGCCGCGCTCTGGGGCGTCTCTGACCACGCCCATTAGGCTCAAGGCAGTCACACTTACCTGTCTAGGGTGCATCCTTCGAGACCCGGTCCCTTGCAGCTGTAGGGACAGAAAGAGAAGTGGGCGTCGTGACCATTCTGATCTTTAGCTGTGTCTCCCCCGGAGAGCTGTTATGAAATCATAAGGCCACCCAACTCATATCTGTTCTCTAAGAGGAAGCAGCCACACAGAGTGGATCAGGAAGACGCCCGAGGCCCAGGCAGCCTCAGAGGGGAGACTCGGAGCGACGGCGGCCTGTGGCCTGTGCCCCCGCCTGAGTCGCGCGCACTTAGCGCTCGCTGTCTCGTGCGGTTTGAGGAGGAGAAGTGCCCCGCTCCGCTTAGCTCATCAGAGCCGTGGGGCACCTCAGCGCGGGAGCGGGGCTTGATCATCTGTTTATTAAGCAACATGCCAGACCATGACATCGCCTGTGGGTTCCAGAACCACCACAAAGATTCCCTTCTGAACCCCAGAGACCCAGAAAAACAGGCAGCCGCCACCTTGGGAAACCCAGCAGGACGACACTCTCATCCCACCTGTCGCTGCTCTGTCTGGTCCGGACACACAGACATTGCAGGACCGAGTCCCGTCAGGGCAAACTGCCGGAGACCGATAGGCATCCCGACCAGCCCCGTGCCCTGCCCATCCGCACGTTCTTGCTGTGGCCGTGACCACAGGGACCCCCTGAACCGACCGACTCCAACACAAGCCTCTTCCCGTACCACCTGGAAACTCTGGGGACAGCTCCAATCTACGAACTGGCACAACAGGAAACCTTTTATTCATCAGCATCTCCTTTTCTGGGGCTACCACGTCACTCACCCGTAGGTACAGTTTGGATGGCACAGGTGGCAGACGTGTTTGCTGTCCTTGAACTTCCAGACCAGCGTGTTGTTTTCGCCCATGACCCCAGCCGGGCAGGTGCTGACACAGTGAGGGCCATCGATGTAGTGGGCACACTGTACGCACTTGTCCGGTCCCTGCACAGAGGTGGAGAAACGCGTTCAGGTAGGTCTCTCGCTCTTTCAAAAGGGAAGTACCTTCCTACTTAAACACTGAGCGTGGCAAAAGTCAAGTGACAGAGAAGTTCTTACAGTAGAAAACAAGTCTGTGTGTGGTTGTACTTGATGTGCCCGCTGGGAACAGCTTAGCGTAAAGCCTTCCTGCCTTTGAATACATAGACTACGTAAAAACGTAAAAGCGAGCGTACTATATAGCTGGTTACATTTTGCTAGTACTTGGTGGGCATCTCATCTCGCCCAAACAACCCGGGCTGGCCTTCGTGTGTGTTTACAGCCCACCTGGTAAGTCGCGTTTGGGGTTTAAGGGAGGCCCGTGGGAGGCAGGCTCGCCAAGGAGAATTCACAGAAGCCCACGCCGATGCTGCTCTGTGGGAAGGGGTGGCGGCTGCCTTACCCGTTGTGTGACATGGGCCATTTCATCCTGCCATGCTGACTTCTTGCTTACACTCTTTAAAGCATCATTACTGAACCTGCAGTGATGATACTGAATTTTGAAAAGGTTTGCTAGGCCTTTCTCGAAGAATTCTCTAAAGATGATGCAGTCCTATTACGTGAAAATTTGCGGGTGTGTGATGAGAACGATCAAGCAACAGCGACAGGTGTGAGGAGCAGCCCATCCCAGGCTTCCTTGCTGCCAGAGAGCAGTCGGCGCCATGTCTGAGGACATGGGGGGTCGGGGGCAGGAGAGGCGGGGCTCGGGGCAGCGGGCTGCGTAAGGACTTTTCAGCTCGGCCGCAGCCCCTGGGACCCAGCGCGACGCCACACAGCCTCTCGCCTGGGAAGTGGGCTTGGATGGCCGTCCTCAGCGGCTACAGGCCGACATCGGGCCAGCCTCATGGGTCTACAGCCACAAAAGGCTTTCCCCTGTGCCGCGCGGGTGAGGAACGTGAAACGTGCTCCTTACGTGTCCTGTGCAGGTCACGTTCATGGGCTGCGGCAGGCACTCCGGATGGCACTGGATGCACTCGGAATTCTCCTGGAACTCCCTGGGCTCGCTGCGGGGGGAAGGGGGGAGAGGGAAGAGCTCAGGGCCGTCCCTGCGCTCTGCGGGCGGACGCGGGTGGCTTCCAGCTGCCCGAGTCGGTCTGCCCGGAGGTTCAGTGGACACAAATCGCCTCTCTCGGGAAAATCCCAACAGTTTTAGGTAAAAGTCAAAGGGTCAGGCCCTGGGACTATTCTGTGAGTGGCACTCTTCAGTGTTGCTTGAACACAGAACAAAAACGAACCAGGGCATGTAGTTTGTATTAATGGAGCTCGACACCCCAGGAGTGGCTACCGCAACGGCCAGACCAAAGGATCCTGGACTTTTGGCCGTACACACTGCTGATGAGTGTTCTGTTTGCCCTGGGAGCTTTGTGCAGCTTAGAAAACTATAAGGTATTTCCAGGAAGAGAGACTCTGTAAATTATTAGATTCGACTCAGTAATGAAGAGTTTGTTCATTTCCTTTTGTGATTAACAGGTGGCAATAAACAAACAAACGAAAACAAAGGGGAAAAAAAAAAGATTCAAACTGAATGACTATCAACCCATCTAAACCATCCCAAGTCTTATTTTTTTTTTTATCAAACCAAAGGGAGTAACACATCGCGTCTCACCCTTCCAAAATGTTGCACTTCTCCACACATTCCTTGTCACGGCTGACGTTTCGGCAAGACATGCAGTCCCGGGGCCCCGGGCCCCAGCACCCCTCGGACGAGCACAGCGGGTTACAGACGTGGCCTTGGGCCCCTGAGGAGACAGCACAGTGGTCAGTGTGGACGAGTGACCAGAGGGTCGCGGCGAGATGACACCGTAGGTGACGTGCTGAGTTCTGTGGGAGCTTCAGCGGCACGGAGAGGCTGGGGCCCGTGGAAGAAGCCGCGACACAAAAAAGCCTCCCTCCAGGGGCGACGGCAGCGTGCCTTCGCCCCCCCGTGTGCCGGGGCGCTGGGCCCAGGCCTAGGTGGTGTTTTGCTGATTCATGTCATAGCTGCTGCTAACAGTAGGGGTTTGGGCGGCAGCCGCTCGCCCGTGCTAGGTAGGCAGTGTGCCGAGCGCGCCACACGCAGACTTTCCTGTAATTCTCTCAGCAGCGCGAGGCTGGGGGAATTGCTGTTCCCTCCATTTCGTGGCCGAGCGAGCCGGAGCCTAAAGATAGGAAGGACGCCGACGAAGGTCCCCGAGCTGGGAAGGCCTGGAGCAGGGCGGTGAGCTCAGGCCTGCTTCCGGCGGGGCCAGGTCTCAGCACAAGGGGACGGCGCCTGACCATGGCTCTACACGCGGGACCGGAGACGCCAACGTGAAATGTCCACGCCACCGCGCATACGCGCGTGTTAGCGACGGCCGTTAAGAGACCGAAATGAGCAGGGCGAGGCCTGCACTTCAAACGTAATGTAATTAACGCCAAGTTTAGTTCTGTACGTCACAAATAAGGGGCAACCTAAACCTCCAGGCAAATTTGTCCTACGAAATGAGAACGGCTTGGAAGCAATTCTGATGAACCTCACGTGGTAACGTCGCAGTTAGGAGTATATAGGCTTCTTTTCATTGGCTGCTTTAGCATGGAAAAAAGTAACTTAAATGTTTGGAAACGGCCCCTCAATATTCTACATCCAAACAAAACAGGCACTGCTTCGCAATCAAACCAAAGTGATGACTCACTGCAGTCTTCTTTGTTTTTGTTGTTTTCGATCTTGGTTTTCTGACTCGAGGTCCCAAAGAGCCTTTTCCAGTTTACAGTATCTGCATAGCACAGGTGGCGGTTGCCCGAAATCACCACGTCTCCGTCGCTAATCTCCTTCAGGGAGCGTAGCCCCAAGGATGCGATGTTCAGCCCGACAACCGCGAAAGAAAACCGGCCACTAAGTTGGAGAGAAGAAAACAAAACAAAACAAAAACATGACGTCACTAAAAGATTTACTTTGTTTTTCTGGACCACGGCAGCTTTACTGCTGACCAGGCACAAGTGCTGTTGCAAAAGCTGTGCATTGTAACTTTTGAAATTTCCAAGTGTCTTTTTAAGTTCCTTCAGGGAGAAGCGAGCTCCTCCTTCATTCGGTATCTTTAATCCCAGGGGCAGACTAAAGGCTGAATAAAAGTTCATTCATGCCAAAAGTTTATGGCATAAAAAACTGCCATAATTTTATTGACTGCCTGTGGAGCTTGCCTGGGGAGCGAGAACATGTTTTAATGTCTCAAACATCCAAAAAGATAGACTTCGAAGGTCCTAGGTTCATTTTCCTGTCCATCCGCCCATCCCTTGAACAAACCCCCGAGGTAACATTTGCCTAATTCTGTGGGGGTCGTGGGTACGTTTCCTGTTCTCCAGAAGCCCTGTGTCCTAGTGGGGATACAATCACACGTGCAGACATTTTTAACCCAGCCCCCCAAGCCCGGCAGCAATGGATGCCACGGAGACCACGAGCAGGGGCGTCCGAACAGGCTGGGGAAGGATGTCCAGGAAGGGGTGGCTTCCTGGAAGAGGTGATGCCGATGGTGAGGACCTCAGGGGCAGGCGCTATAATGTTTTCTTCACCACCCAACACTGTGCTGGTCCTGCAAGGTGATCAAGACACACCCACCCAGTGACAGGTGAGAGTTCCCCGGAGTACAGGGAGGGACACGCCGGACTACCCGGAAGGGCCGGTAGGAGGGAAGCAAGCGTGTGGCAGGTGCCCACCACCATGGCTACTGCTGGGGCGAAACGGGAGGCAGGGAGCCCGGGGCGAGGGACGGGGCCGGTGGGGAGCCCTGGGCTCCCCCAGAGGGGCTCGGGCTGCTGTTCGCAGATGATGGGAAGCCCTGGGAAGGAGGAAGCTGGCCGGCCATCAGGACAGGACATGGGCCCGTGGCGACAGTGTTTTAAAAAACATTCAACATGTTTTTTTCAATTACAATGCACATTCCCCGTTATTCTGTATCGGCTTGAGGTGCACACACAGCGGGGAGACGATCGTATGCTTTAGGAAGTGTCCCTCCAGGCACCGGACGGCCCCCGGGCGCACCTGGCAGCACACACAGCTCTTGGAGTGTCATCGACCACACTCGTGTTCCCTATGCTGCACTTTACACGCCCGCGGCTGTTCTGCACCTGCGAGCCTGTGCTTCTCAACGCCCCCAGCTTTGTCACGCACCCCGCGAACCCGCTGCCCTCCGGCAGTCGTCTGTCTGTTCTCTCTTGGAGTCTGTTTCTGCTTCGTTTGTTCACTGGTATTGCTCTGTCGATTCCCCATATAAATGAGAGCGCAGGGCGTTCGCCCCTCTCCGCCTGACGCATCTCACCGAGCACAACGCCCTCCAGGTCCACCCGCGCTGCCGCGGCGGGACGCCCCTCTTTACGGCAGGGCTGCAGGAAGGGGCTGCCCACGAAGGCCTGAGGCGACCGGACTTCAGGTATAATCAGGAGACTCCTTCGCTCCTTGTCTCTCTTCCTCTCCCAACAGCCTGGCTTGTGAGACCAGCGAGAGGCCCCAAAAGGAGACCTGCACCCCCAATGTGAGGAATTCTCCTCCGACTCACACCCCGGGATCCCGGAGCTGAGATGCTGGGGAGGGAGCTGGGGTCATCCTCGCGGGGGCTGGGGGTCGCACGCCTTCGCGGAGCCTGGCGCCAGCGCCCCCTGCCCCGCAGCAACCGTGTCTCTGCGAGCTTCTCAGCCACGTGAGAAGGAAAAGGCATCCCTCTCCTGTTTAAATCCTTACAACTAGACCGAGAGGCACCTACCAGTCACCCCAGAAAATAGATCTCCCCGTCTCATCTCTGGGGGAACCTTGGGCAGGAGCGTTCCTGAGAACTCCGAGCGGGGGTCCTTTCCGGGGAGAAGGGAGGGCCACACCCCTAGCATCAGCGACGCGGAGCCCAGGCAGCCTCCGGAGAGGAGAGCGACGCTCATCTCAGAGGCGCACTCAGGGCGGGGGGTGGGGGTGGTCAGGGGCGGGAAGCAGGTGGAGGAGCCAGACGGCCTCCAAGGCCGGCTTGCCCGAGAGAATCCCGAATCCCTCTTCACCGTAAAATTCGATTACCACGACTACGTTAAAGATGCTCATGCGTGCGTATCTTACTGCTGGAGTTGGAAAAGTGGGAATCTCGAAAGCGACACTTCCTGTTTTGAGAGTCTCTAGGTCCCCCTGGTATGAGGTGCAGGTAAGGAGGGTCCCCCTGGCACCACTCTTGCCCGAAATGCATAACCTGAGTCAGAGGATGAGAAAACCTCAGCCAGTCTACAAAGAGCCTGAACAGCGCTTTGCAGAAGTGTCAAGGCCGGGAAAGACAAAGAAAACAGAGGGTCTGTCCCAGATGGCAAGGGACTACGGAGACACAGCGCCCAAGTGCAGGGGGCGTCTGCGCTGGACCCTGGGAAGACCGTGAATTCCAAGTAAACGGTGGTGCCATCAGACAGCACGGTGGCCGGGAGAGTGTCTCATTGTGACACTCGGGCCGGGCTTACGTGAGGTGTCAGCACTGCGGGACCTGGGGGAGGCGAAGGGGCAGGTCCCTGCAGCGTCTTTGCGGTACTTCTGTACGTCCCCCCTTTTTATTTCTAAATAAAAGCACCAGGAAGAGTCCCCCGGGCTGGCTGGGGCCACTTACTGCTGCTTCGTCCTGCCACGTATGATCTCTAGGTTCTCGAACGCGTGCAGGTCCGTCCTGTTCTCCGGCCAGGCCTGGATCAGCAAAGACCCTGTAAGGCAGAAGGGAGGCTCAGACACATGCCGCTTGGAAATCTCTTCTTTGTAGCAGACGTTCTTACAGGATTCATGTGAGCAGGACACGCGATTTTATTGTCTTCGCCGGGTGTGTACCCACGCACGTAAATGCCAGCCAAGGTTTTGCGTACACACATCCTGCCCTGCCGCGGAGTCCCCACCGCCCGCCACGCCCAGTGGGCCTGGCTGGGCTCCGTAGTTCATTCTTCCGGGCACCCCTGAGGAGGGCAGCTGTGTATCGAGCCGTGATCACGTACCAGGACACAGACATATTTTTCTTATTTAACTCGAATCCCCAAAACAATCTTGTTATTTAGGTTGAATTATTCCCTTTTTAGGAATAAAGGAAGCAGGGCTTTGATGGGAGTCCTGTTTGCCCCTCACAGGGGACACTGTACTTTTGGAAGATATGGAAGAACTCATAAGTCATTAACGGGCGAATTTCAGAAGAATGGTTTGGCACCAAGGGAGAAGGAAGGAGGGCCACGCGTTCTCTCTAAGCCCTGTTTGCCCGCGAGGTCCCCGCGATCCATGAGCTGCGCCCACCTGTGATCTCCTTTACAGTCTTGAGAATGTCCAGCTCCTTTGGGTCCAGAGGCTTCGTGCGTGTGAAGGAGTCACTGCAACAAATCACAGAAGGGTTATCGGCCACCAACCTCTACCGTCCAGCAAAGCCGATCGCGCCCCGTCACTCAACCTGTGACTCACCCCCGAAAAGCCACCGGCAGGATGTGAAGGTCTCCACTGATGGACGTGCAGTTCTGGAAGTGTTTGATGTTCGTGGCATTTATGGAAAGGGTGTCCTTGAATTCTCCGATGCCTATTCCGTTACAGACTGCGAAGGCAAGGGAGGCGTTAACCCCCACCACGTTTGCTGACTGACGCCCGGCTCGCGGAGCACGTGGGAGCCCTGAGAACTGTCAGTGCCAGACAGGCTGTCATTCATTCACTCAACAGACGCTGACAGAGGTACCAGGCGCTGGGTGGGGTCTGGGGCTCCGGCGGCCAGAGAGGGAGACGCGGTCGTCGTCCTCACGGGTTGGCCGTCTCCCCATTATTCCCTGCAGGTGCAACCCACCTGCCCTCAGAGCCGACCTGGAACGGCGCCCACTGGGACCCCCGGTGGCACCTGCACGGCCTTTCCATTGCCCTGAGCTGGTGGGCGGCCTTGTGTTCCAACAGGAAGGAAAAATATGCGCACATTTTTAACAGAAAAAGTAAGATGCATTCACTTAAGAAATTGTTAAAAACACAGTGACAAGGTGACCCGCAAGCCCACGACCTAGTGTTAGAAATTCAGAAAGTTTCTTTGTAGCGAAGCCGCACGGTTGGGCCACACCAGACATGCAGTTCGTATTTGGTCCCCCTCCCCCCACTCTCTGTGCTGTGAATGTTCGTCCTATTACTAAAACCATCCACCAGCATGATTTTTAACGGCCGTCGGATGTTACAGCGTAGGGGATCCCGTGCAGCGACTGTCAGCAGGGAATGCCATTGCTTTCCTTCCACGGTGTCGACGTCAGCCAAAGGCTTTGCTCTGCGTGCTCCTGGGACCTCGGTCTCGGGGGCCCTTTGCCACGCTCCGAGCTGGCTCATTAATTCATGTCCCCTCCCGAGTTTCCCTCTGCACTGTCGTGCCTCTCCTACCCCGGGCCCAGACTCTTCCCAACCGCAGGGCGCAGGCCAGAAAGGGGAAAAGAGGGGCGGCTAGCGAGTGGTGCCCGGTGAGCAAAGACTCCGAGGCTGGATTGGATTCTGAGTGGAAAAACAGCTACACGCGACTTCCTGGGACGGTAGGGAGAAGCGCGAATTATCCTGAATCCTGGAAACGGGCATCGAGCCGGCGTAAACCAAAAGCGATGAGGGCGAAACTCTCTTTGGTTACTTAGGAGGAGGTGCCCCTGTGTAGGGACAGCAAGCGGACACAGGCCGGGGTGCGAAATGTCGTCATGTCCACGATCCTCACAGGGTTCAGGGAAAACACACACACACACACATGCATGCACACACACGACATAGACACGGAGGCCGTGAAGACAACGTGGCAAAGCGTTACAAATCAGCGAATTTACGTGAAGGGCCTATGGGTGTTCATTGAGTAAATTGTGCAGTATTTCAAAATTTATAAAATAAAAGATAAAGGGTAAAGACCGATGAAATAGCCTTGAGGATGCTCCAAGGACAGGGGCCCATAAAAGGAAGGGACACATTTCTGAGCCCGGGGAAAGAGATGTACTGAAATCGTCCCTGAGGGTTGCTGCGGAGCCAGCAGGCACAGAAGGGCCACCCTCCGACCGCGAGGGAACCGCCCCCGGCCCGGGCCCCTACCTTTGCGACAGGGCCCTTCACACTTTTTGCACTTGCGGACGCCGTCCTCCTCCACCTCGTAGCTGTCCGAGCCGCAGGCCCGGACGCACGACCCGTGGTCTGTCACCACGTAGTTACCTGCGGGAGGGAAAGCGAAACGCAGGTGGTGACAGCAGCACCAGGTGTCTCCGGGGCTTGTGTCCTCCTGAAATGGGGCTGGTGACAAGGGCCCATCATCCTCACGTTTTGTTTATTGCGAGGACAAAGGATAAAAGGCTGCAAACTGAAAAGGAACCAAGTTCAAGAGTGTGGAGGGCTTTCCAGACCATGATGTGGAAAAGGAGCTATTTCATCACAGGCGGCAACAGGTGTGTTAGGGAGAAAACATCGTGCCTGCTCCCAGGCTTCAGGCTCCTCTTCGCAGGTCATTTTTTCCTCTTTTGTAAAATAGGTTTTACCTTCAGGACTCATGGGTAAAGCCTGAACATACGTGACCTAAACAAAGGCTCCTCTTCCATCCAGACGGCTACCCCCGAGGTTCCGTGTCACCCCCGGGGTGGGGGTCGGGGGCGCGTGGCCGAGCCAGGCGCACCGTTCTTCCCTCATCTCCCCTCGCCCCAGAGGTCATTTGCTGGCGTCAACGTTAACGCAAATACTAATATTCTCAGGGGCTCTGTGTTCTGCTCTGGCTTTCCCAAGGGGATCCTCAACCCCATTTCTGGATGTTGGCCATTTTTGTCTGCTCTTGTTCTCTTAGGCCCTGTGTGCTTTTCTTACGGGTTTTCAGCCACCTAGTCATCCCTCTCTCAAAGATATCTGTGTCCTCCCTGTGACCAATTTTTCTTTATCTTTGTCGTTTGCGTCACAATGGCTTATTGCTCTGTTTGCGTGTTATTGTTTATTCTGCACAGCATTTAAAAATTTTCCTCTCGGCAAATCTGGTAGGGGACAGCTCCCTTCGTCGTGGCTTTGAGAAATGTTTTTCTTAGGTCATCTCCCCTCTGAGGAATCAAGATTGGTCTCCAAAGCCCGTTAGTTAGAGGACATAATCGATGTCAACGTTACTGCAAACGTTGCCACGGGTACACTGCAAATACAGGCGAGCAAAACCCAACGATTAAAACAAAACAACAAACAAACAGACCACCAAAGAACCCTCTGCGGTTCTCCTCAGGGCACAACTTGCACCAGAATTATTTCCACTGGAGAAGGCGGGTTCTCCAGCAGACTCCCTACTTTAGGTCTATTAAATATGCATTTGGTACAAGAGCCAGACAGTGAAATGGCCCCAAGGCCATGGGTCTGTGCCCACCGGCCCGCTGAATGTTCTGGATCCCCCAGCCGGACCTCAGTTCTGGGAGCTGCCACCACAGCCGTGTGTGCTGCTGGGGCCACCCCAGCATGAGACACCGGGCGACCAGAGCGGCAGCCACCGCGTCACCCACGGCAACGACTCGGCCGTCCTCTGCCCTCCGATGGGCCCGGGGACAGGCCTGGCAATGAGGCAAACGCAGCCGCCGGGGCCGGGCCTCCCGGGCACCAGCGGGCACACGGGAAACCGCTGCCTGATCACGGCGGGGGGAGGGGTGGGGTTCGTTCCGCGCGGCTGGACTCACGGGGACATTTCTTCACGCAGGTGGCGCCAAAGCTGTATTTGCCGTCGGGGTTGACGTCCACCTGGTACGTGGTGGGGTTGTAGAGCATGAGGGGCGGGCAGGTGTCCTTGCACGTGGCCTCGTCCCGGAACCTGCGGCACACCTGTGGGAAAGGCGACACCACCGATGGGGACGTGCTACAGAGTGGAGCTGGCGTGACCGCCCAGAGGAGCGGCCTTGCACGTCTTGCACCTCGAACCCTTGCAGTGTTTGGCAGGGCGCCCTGACCTTCGGCTGGGGCCTGGCGTGGCATGATGCCCCGAAGAGCCGTTAGCAAAGGTAACAAGGAAGCTGATACTACGCCGCCTATTCGACCGAAAACTAAAAGCACTGTTTAAAATTAGCGTCCCTGTGTTAGCTTTTCTGCTCAGGAGCAACACCTTCCTTCTGAGGATGTAACTGTCTCCTCCTCTGTCTCATAAATACCCCCCTCTTTTGTCCCCTCGGATCGGAGCACTGTTTGGGCTGTTGCTTGAATCAGTGCTGCCCGAATCGCTCTTCTTTTTTTCATCTCAAATAAATGCTGGTTGCCTCTCCCTTTGAAACTATTTATTTTTAGCTTCATACTTGTCATGGCGGGGGGCAGCATATGCAGGTAAACTGAGGAAGGCCCTTAGATTACTGTGCAGGTGTTTGATTAAAGCAGAAAAACCTAGCCAAGTGTTTTCAATAGAGTCGGAAAGGCCTTTCTCTTAAAAGCACGGTTTTTCTTAAATATACTGTCTCAACTATCAATGATGGTGATAGGAATATGCACCTCTTTATCAACTGACAAAACGACAAAGGAGTTCAGACGCTAGGGCGGGAACTAAGGAGGGGCATTGTTTTTACACTCAGTTTATCCAGGGTTTTCTTCACAAGAGCATCTGAAGCTACGGTTTAGAACTTAGGGCCGCACCACAGGGAGCCCTGACCAGAAGGCACGCCACGCGCAAGGACCAGCCCACAGGCGGTGGTGGCGGAGGGACGCGTGAGCCGCCTTTCCCCTCGGGGCAGCGGAGTCGCCGTCCTGGGGCCGGCTGCGGCCTTTGGAACTTAAACACCCCCCCCCCAAAAAAATCAGAGTCTCTTGGATTCCACCGCAGGTGCCTCCTTGTCTGGAAGGCACGAGGGTCTCGTCACACTTGGCGCTGAACCCAGCACCCCTCCCTGGTGGCCCCGGCGTCTCCCGGACCTTCAGGGCGCTCATGGTCCAGGGGCAGCCTCCGGGCACCCAGAACCAGGCTCCTGCCAGAGCTCCCTGCAGTCACGGGACCAAAGCAAGTGCCCTAAGACCCCGGGCACGTGCGGGGGGTGCGGGCAGGCACCCCTGAGCCGTGGGGGAAACGGCAGGGCCACCGGGGCAGAAGACGCCCCTCTCCGGTCTCTGCCGCCGGATGGGCGTCCTCACACTCTATTATTGCAGGGGTGCCCACAGCGTCAGCTCCCTGGGCTTGGAACCGGGCTTCACTTAGAGAGTAAATACTGGGGCGATGATGGCCACAAAAGCCCTTAGTGGCAAACAACTTGCATTTAGTATCCAGCGCTCACTCTGTGCCTAGGGCCACCTGTGCCCTGTCACTTAGACCCCTTAACACACAGGCCCTCTAGGATCCAGCACTGTCCGGTGAGGAAACGGAAGCACAGAGAGGGCGCGGGATTTGCCCACGGCCCCAAAGGCAGTGGGGAGGGCAGGGCAATCGCAGGGGCTCTGTTCCCTGGCAAAGGGCGACACCCCCACCTGCCACGACAAACGTTTAACCGTACATCGCAACCACAGTGGCCGGGGCCCGGGGGGTGCAGCGCCAGGCGCCTGCGAGCCCGCCCCCAGGGTGGGGGTGGCGGGGAGAGGGCCTCACCAGACAGTCGCTCTCGCGGGGCCCTGTGCAGCCGGAGGCACACTGGTTGTGGCAGCAGTCGCTGGGAGACTTGCCGCGGCAGCGCCCTGAACACTGCTGGGCACAGATGATTTTGGTCACTGAAAAGGAGCAAAGGTCACGGGTGAGCGGAAGAGGCGGAGTGATGGGAAGCCACGTCCCGGGCACCACACGGGGCACGTGCCCGCGCTGGGTGCACAAGTGACTGGGAGGACGGACTCAGGGGCTCCGCGGCTTGTTGAGGTCCCCAGACAGTCCCCTTCGGCCAGACGGCATCGAATCGTGACTTTCCTTTCTGCCCCCTCCCTCTGTTTTTTCCCCCATTTGTTTTTAAAGAGTCACTTAGGAGAACGGACCAGAGCAAGCCTGGAAGTTCAGACCTGCATAATGACTGAACACCAGTTAGAATGAACTGAGCTTCTGGGTAAGACAAAAAACACATACAAGTGACAAAAACGCCAGCCAGGAAGCAGTGTTTAAAAGGATGACTGTCACATCATGGCCAGGTGGTCTGTTAAGGACAGGCGGTGAGCTGTTAAGTGGCCACGTCCCCAGATTCCTTGGCTGCCCGCAGAAAAACCTTCTTGAAAAAGTTGCCCATACATCTCCTAGGTGGATCCCCAAGCGAGGCGGGGGAAGGGCGGCCAGACAAGCCCCTCCCCCGCCTCGCTTTCCACGGAGACAGGGGTGGGAGAGCGTGAGAGAGACCGGGATCAAGGAGAGCGTGTGCGTATGATGGTGGGGAGACAGGGCAAGCGCCAGGAGTACAAAGGACATAAAGTTCTGAACGATTGTTTCCAAGGAAGAAGGTCCCAGGAAAACCTGCCAAACACGCGGACCAGAGGGAATGACTGGCCGCAGCGGCCGACCTTCACTTGTTTATGACTGACCGGCTCAAGCGCCCAAAATAGCCCGCCTGGGTCAGTCACCCTCGGGGAGACTGGCAGGACCGGTCACTCGCAGGCCTGCTCCTGTCTGGCCTCCCAGTCAAGGTGCTCTTGGAGCCCTTGAAGGGAAAACCCGCGCCAGCAGCCGCGGGGAAGGGGAGGCGGGGCCGCACGCTTATCCGAAAGTCTGCTCGCAAACTCACGTTTCTGACAGTTTTCCTTTCCCGCACCCCAGCAGCTCCCGTTGGGGCAGCTTGGATCACACTTTTGGCCTGAAATAGAAAAGTGATCGTTAAATCCATGGCTTAGTGAAAGGGCACAAAGGAGAAGCAGCCGGTGGCAGCCTCCCCCGCCCCGGAGCAGAGGGCGATTCCAGAAACAAGGAACAGTGTTCACATTTCTTATTCTCTGTTGCCTGTTTGGCTGGCTTGTTTGTGAAATGACTTAAAAGACTCTCATGAGAAAAAAAAGAAAGGCTGAACCACCGGCTGCTTTGATTTACACGTCAGACCTAGAAACTGAGGCAGAGAGTGATTATTGATTGTCACAGGCTACGACACGGGGCTTTCAGTGGACTCAGGGGCCCAGATTTCACATTTGCTTGGGTGTGGAGAATCTCCTAGCACCTCCTGCAATAACGCTGAGGGTATCTACCCTGGTGGGTCGGCATGCGCCCACTGAGGCCTGGCTGGGTCCGCTCATGGAGGGTGGGGTGGGTCAGCCTCCTGGGGCGCGGGGTCCAGCAGATAAAAGCGCCCCGGCTCTCTGCTGGAGAGAGGCACAGACTTCTGTGCAAGGGGCCGAACGTCCTTGGTGCGCATCACTTTGTGGATCATCTAAAACCTCAGCTATTCATCTGCAAGCTATTGTCTGAAAACATTGCCAATGGGTCGATCAGGTTTTGCAGTTTTCGTAAGTGACGAGCAACTCCAAGTTGCAGGCACAGAGGGGTCTGATCTTGTTAGCTGCGTTCTGCTTGTATTGGCATTGAGGAATCTGGACTACAGTGGACTGGCAGACTGCCCGATTTGGTAACAAGGGGTCCACCGTCCCGCAAAGATATAACTTCCATGGGTCAGTACGTGTCTGACAGTCTCCTCCCGTTAGGAAGAATTTCATCTCTGGAAGAATTCAGATTTTAAACAGTGAAGAGCTGATGCTATGCCAAGGGACTGCTGAACCAGGACACCCCACGGATATAACCGACAATGTTTACATCCGCCCCCGGGGGGAAGGGCATGAACGCAATGTCGGTGCACCCAGAATCCTGAAAGACGGTGAGGCCAGACCCCAACGGCCCAGGCTGTGAGGAGAGCGAGCCCGAGACAGACAGACCGAGAGAGGAAGAAACAAAAACAAAGTGTCTGTAACACACAGCAATGTTAAAAGCGATTGTGTCTGTATAGAGCTATCACGTTATTTTTACTTTTTATTTCTACTTTACCACATTTTTCAATTCTGTCTGTTCTAGGCACGTGATAGGTTTAGAAAAGAAAAATACTGAAGAGAAAAAATACTTAAAAGTGTCTTCCTGTAACAGAGGAAAACATTGGCCGACTGATGGATTGACACCCTACGTCGAGCAGACTGGCGTCTAGTGGGCCGACCCTTGTGCGCTGCCCCTTCCTGTCTGGCGTGAAAGGGCCTCCCGCTAACTGGGCCTTGTCTGCCGGGCCCCAGCCCCGCAGCCCTGCCCCGCCCTGGGCGCTGCGGGCGGATGTTTGTGGACCACTCACAGCTGCTGGATGGTTTGTTCTGAAAGTCCGTCGATATGTTGCCCAGAAAACTGCTGTCGACGATGTCCTGCCACTGGATGGTGTCCATGTTGCAGAGGGTGGGGTTGTTGCTGAATCGCACGGCGCCTTGCAGGATTTCTGCGCGAGAGAGAACCCCGTGAGCCCACGGCCGTCTGCCAGGCTCCCACGGAGCTGGCACGCGTTTCGTCCCTGGTGGCCTCCTGCTAGAAAGGTTCCAGCGAGCACAGGAGTGCCCCACCCCCCAGCTTCAGTGGGCGCAGGTGGGAAATGAATTTGGGATTGTGCACAGAGGGGTTTGGGTTTCCCCTCGATCGGGCCTTTGAACCGTGAACGACCAGAACGTAGACCTTTGGGGGGTGGGGGAGGAGGAAGAGAGTGCTGGAGTCGGTGAGCACAGCATAAGGACGAGTGTGCGGAGAGCCGGGGCGGCCGATCCAGGCTGCCCTGGAACGACCGGAGGATGTCGCTTGGAAGGGGCAGGAGGGGCGCCGAGGGCGGCGGCGGACGGCCGCAGCGTAGGCGGGGAACTCCAGGGGTGGGCGGCGATGCTCTCGGAGCCTCTGGAGGCTTTCCACGGAGACCGGGGTGGGAGAGCGTGAGAGAGACCGGGATCAAGGAGAGCGTGTGCGTATGATGGTGGGGAGACGGGGCGAGCGTCAGGAGTACAAAGGAGATAAAGGGCTGAACGATTGTTTCCAAGGAAGACGTGATAGGACGCGAAAAATCAAGGGCCACGAGGCAGCAAGCCAGGCAGAGGCACGGAATGACTTATGTGCACGAGATGCTGTAGCGGGTGCTGTGGGGTCGGCACGGCCGGGCCCGCCCCGCTGGCTTCTGTCTAAGGACGGCCGGGCCTGGGGAGGCTGACAGGGCACGCCGCTGGCAGGCGCGTGCCCGCACAGGGGCACGGCACGCGGTTTACATGCATTATCTGGACTACTCCTCACCATGGCCCCATGACTGTCCGAGATTAAATGCAGATACATGTAGTGCCCGACGCCCTGCAGGCAGGGAACGGAGGTACCCTGAGCACCAAGCAACAGTGGAGAAGAGGGAGGATTCTCCCCGGGAAGACCTCAGGGGCTGTCGGAGAGAGTGGCGTTTCCCGGGACGCGGGCAAGAGCGGACAGAGGAAGGGAACCGTGGGCTTCAGGCAGGCAAGACGGGGCAGGGATGGAGGCTGGGACAGGCGGTCAGTCTCTTCAGTGGCGGGCGGAGGAGGAAGGAATCAGGCAGGTGGGCCGGGAGCCTGGATGCCAAGCCAGAGGTGCAGCGGGTCCGTCCGCTGACAGCATTCTCTCGGGCGGGGGCCAGAGTCAAGTGCGCAAGACTGATGACAGGTCAGAACTGGAAATGCAGACTGAGGGTGTCAAGGTGCTGGGACAATTTGGGCCGCAGACCAAGGTGCCAAGATGGAAGGTCGAGGGGGGGCCTCAGAGGGTAGGCCTGCCAACGGCACATGGGGGAAGGGCAGGGGAGCGGCCAGGTGCTGGAGACTCGGGTGTCCCCGCCAGGCAGCCGAGAAAAGGAGGAGGTGATCGGGGGCAGGCACTCTTTAATATTTACTTCTGACATGCGATGACTCTCCCTTTGTGGCTGGCACTGGGTTAATCATCAATATCAAATAATTCACATTGAAGAATTATTTAATAACATTAATTCAAGTTTATGCAACGTCAACGACAGAAATGAGGCCAACAAGAGAAATAGGCCATAAGTGCTTTATCCACAGTAATTCACTCGATTGTCTCAACGACCCTAGGGTGTGTGTTGGCATGGTTACCCACATTTTGCAGATGAAGGGACTGAGACCCAGAGGGGACCCCCTCCACCAGGGTGTCTGGCTGGTGAGTGATGGAGCCAGGGCTTTGAGGATTTTAAAAGGCGTGGCGTTCAATGGCGTTACCGATTTAACACGCCCGGCACTGTATCTGCCCCACAGCGAAGGCACGGTCACGATTACCTTCAATTTTTAAAAAACCAGCTTCCCACCTCTTACATCGTCTTCCATCCTGTCCTGCCACAGGCCCCTCACGTGTGTCCTAGACACAAGAACTCAATCTTCCCCCGCGATGCGTTCCTTCCTCGCCCTAAAACATGGCTTCCTGTGTGTGCCCCTTACACCTGAGGCCCAGGTAGGAAGGCTGGCGGTTTCTTTGCTCCTCTGGTCATGCTCTTTCCCTGAGGCCCTTTGCCATTTCTTACTAGCTCTCCGGACATTTTTCCGTGAACGTGGGGTAACAGGGACCTGGCTTGACCCCTTCCTTCCCATCTCACTGTTCCCCATGTTCCTCAGGACCCCCCGCCTGCTGCACCTTGCACATGGCCGACACGCGGTGCACTTGTGTGGAGGCAGGAAAGCCTCCTCTGGGTGCAATCACGGACGCAGGCCGCCGTCCGCGCACCCAGCCTCCCGGGGCCCAGCTCTCACCCTGCAGGCTCCTCATGGGCAGCTCCCGCAGGCCCGTGTGGTTGGCTCCGTAGTTGGACAAGACGGACAAGGCGTGCGTGTTGTCTAAGAGCACGTTTCCTCTGATGACCTGCAGGTTTTCCAGAGGGATCTTCTCCGCCACGTTGAGGGCAATGAGGACGTAGCCGGCGACCTCCCGGATGGTCTGTGGAGAGGAAACGTGCATGTGGGGCTTCTCCTTGGAGGGACTCAAGGACGTGAGGCCTCAACCGGGTCCCGGGAGCCCAGGACACCCAAATGACCTACACACACACGTGTGGCTGGCCAGGGTCAAGCCCGTCGGGGACCACGCTGAGGGTATGGAAGACGATAGGACTCTTGGTCACGCATGCACTGGGCTTCTCGAGCCTGCTGGTGGGAAGAAAGGGCGCGGGGACTCTGTAGCAACGCTGTGACTCTTGTTCTGCTTGGTGTTTACCATACTCAGGTGAGAAGGGAAATGTCCTGTTCATTTAGTTTGTACCTGTCTTGCTTGCTTTCTCATTAAAAACAAAAACAAAAACAAAGACAGAAGAAGGCCAATCAAATCTGAAGTTCAACGACTGTCAAACTTTGCAGCCTTCAGAGCTGGCTCCTCCTGGCTCACAAGAGGCTGCTGAGAGCTACTGGGGACAGCAGCCAATCGACCGTGGTGGGAGCGTTTACACCAAGGGCATGGGCAATACCACGAAGCAAGGATTTCTCTTTTATGTTATAGTTGTTATTATTTGTTTACTTTTTTAAAAATTGAGAGTCAGTCTACTAGGGGTCCATGGCTGAAGCCACAGTCAACAAAGTTCCTATCAGGGTCTATGGTGACAGCGGAACACCAGCCTGGCCTGCTTCTCTTTGATACTCTGATTCCTGACACTTGCTGATCCAGGGACCCTCCCATAAACCTGCCCCTCAGGTTCCTCGGGACTGGGAACAGCCGCAGCAGGAGCAAACGTGTGCCCAGGTCAGTCCTGCTACGGCCTTTATCTACTTCTCCTGACTTCTCAGGCATTCGGGTAAGACGAACAAATGAACTGCACCGACCTTCAGGAAGGAAAGGTCGTAATCCCTTTGCATGTAGGTGATTTCCAGGTTCCCCAGGACCACCTCGCAGTTGTTCAGCATCCTCTGGAGGCTCAGGAAGTGGTCGTCATAAGTGCCCAGCTGCGTCAGCTTGTTATTGGTCCCCTGGCAAACTGGAAAGAGAAAGAGATCCCATGAAATGTCCAGAAAAGGAGCAAGAGGGAAGTGAGACAAAATTTACAGACTTCAACCGACTCTGTGTGCTTCAGTGATGTACAGCGTTCATTCTGATCAAGGCAAATGAGACAAAACATGTTTAAGTTTTACAAGGTGCAGTTTATAATTAGGAAGAACTCCCCTTGTAGTTCATGGACTTGTTTAAACAGGTTAAAAACCCAAGGGGGCACAGATGAAATTTCATAAAAATCTTTAAGACAAAATAGTCTGTAAGCACTTCAGTAGGCAAAATAAATACGTATCATAAAGCATATAAAAATAATATAATTACAACAGTTAACAACTATATGATGAACATTTTACTTTGCAAAAAGAGAGCATGTCACATTCTATGTGTCCAAAGGATGTTTACAAACATCATATATACAAGGCAATATTTTTTGAGCACAACATTGTACAGTGGAAAGTCAACAACAAGAGTGCACATTAAAACGCATATGGCTGGAGCTGGAAAATGTTCTCCTAAACTGTTGCCTGAGAAAACAAACCAAAGGCCTGATTCTATAAGCTTCAGTAAATACCAAAATGACAACCCACATTTAAAAACAGACGCAGCAGCTGAGAAACGCACAGCCCCGCGGCGTGTCCACTCTCCCTGCGCACGCAACCTGCCAAGGTGGGACTTCCCTCGGCAGACTCAACTCCCTCCTGTTCGAGGGTCTCAGACTTAGCACAGGGAAACATCGGCAACTAGGGGATGAAGTTAGACTCTGCAAAAACACGCGGTCGTCTGCATATCAAAGCGAAGGAGAGGATTATAATAAAGCCATATTTAAAGACCTAGCTCTTTAATGGACAAGTGTAGGCAAGCATCACAAAACAAAGAGGGCTGTGGCTTCTGAAGCAGGAGCTCATTTGGGGACTATACTTTGAACCAAAGTGATCATAAGAGTGAAGAAATATGGCCTCTGGCTTTGGAGCGTGATCCAGAACCAGGTTCTTCCCAGTCTGCAAAGGCGGGTCGGCCGTCAGTAACCAGGTGTTAAGCCCACAGAAAAGGCCGAAGCCAACAGGCATGGACTTTTTCAGGAACTCTAAGTGCACCTTGCTCTTTCACAAGCTTCTCTGGTCCCCCCTCATGGGGGCTGACTGATGAGTGTCATCGGACTGCCTGCCCCAGCTCCTTGGGGTCGCGGCAGAGAGCATGTGTTCAGACACCGTGGGAGCACCCCTGAGCACTTACACCCACGCCGGGGATGAAGCAACCTTCACCTCCCCATTTGTTCTGTGGGATTTCCCCCTCTCTTCCCCTGCTGTGGTCTCATTCGGATTTCGTGGTGGAGAGAACTTGCACACGGGAACTCTGACCGTGGGCAGGATGCAGCCCCTATCGGCTGGCTCCAGGGTGGGATGATTCCCTAAGGAATTCTTCCAACCACAAGGTGGGACCGACCCAGCGTCTCAAGGTGGCTTTCGCCCGGCAGCCGGCTCCTTCAATTTCCGCCTCAAGTGGGAACCGCCGCACACAGTTGGCGGCAAGGCACGCGGACAGGGCCAGACTGATCTCCTAATTCCAAGGTCCTTAAAAATGACACCACTGATGTAGGTGCAGGGTTGGGACAATAACGCGTGACCTCCCCACTGGCACACCTTGAAACAAACACTGCTTTCCTGGCTGGCAGACTGTGCTCTGCCAAATGTCAACCTAACTGGCTGGCCACAGTCTCAGGCGCTGCAGTGCAAATCAGGCCTTCACGCCAGCCGGGTGAATGGCGTGGACCAGAACTTAGGCGCGTTGCGGGACAGCTGCTTCAGCATGCAGAGGGACGACGACAACAAGAGTTGCCTTCATCTGAAATGATCAAGGACATCCGCTCGCATGCTTCTCTCAGCTGAACCGAAGAATGTTTATTATTAATAAAACCAGTGAGGAGGCAACTGGCGTCAGTAAAAAAGGAAAACATGACATTTAAGTTTAGCCTGTTTTCATATAGAAAAAGATGATTTCAAGAAGCCTGTACCTGTGCATGCGTTCATGCATTCAACAAGTGACCCATGAGCACCTAAAACTATTTACTTGATGAACACTCATCACTGTGGTTCACCATTAGCAGGGATTACTCTGAACTACTCTTCCTTTGTACATGACTTTGAATTACTCCTCAAAGCTCTTTGCATCGCGCTTGCCTCCAAGAGCGACATGGTGAAAATAACATTCGCCTCCCAGGGTTGCTCTGAAGGTTGAGCGAATACAAAAGGTTCAACTTTCTTCGGTTACAGTTAACGACCGAGAAATGCGACAGTCATGTAAACACAGGGCGCATCTGGGCAGACGTCAGGGGACATCCATGGATGCACCTCTGCTGCGAGGTGTTGTCTGGCATGGGAGCGTCTGGATATGCAGTTACTCAAATGTGCGGTGTGAAGCAGAGTTACTCTGTAGAATATTCATCGAGAGAGAGAGAGAGAGAGAGAGAGAGAGAGAGAGAGAGGAATACATTGTACTTGAAGGATGTCCCTACAATACGCATTGAGGAGTAGGTGTTTAAGCAACTGATTCAAGGAGAAAGTGAGCGTTACCTCAGCGCTATACATTTGACAGGTAAAAGTGTGTGCATGGAGCTCCTCGCCAAACGCTAGGGACGCGCTTCACCCTTCGCTCCCCTGAAGGCAGACTCTAGGTCTTGAGCAGCAGCAGCCCGGGAGGAGGCTCCTCCCAGCACTTTGCTCTGCCTCCTCAAATTTGAGGAGGAAGATTCGTAACTGCGGAGGGAAGATGAAAGACCTGGATGGCGAACGAGCCTCGATGACATGTTACTGAGTTCACTGTCTCATGAACCTACCCACTTCCCTTTGATGCATTTTATAGACAGGCCTGCCAGGGCCTCCAGTTCAATATTCGTTTATAGTTGTTGCTGGGGTGACGTCCACACACGGCGGCATAATCAGTCCCATGAGCTGCCACAAGTGTACGTACACACGTGTATAACCTCCCCTCCTCTCCGGACACAGAACAACGCCATCACAGCGGGGAGCTCCCACGCCCCGCCCCAGGCACCCCTGCCCTGTAAGCCAGCCCTCCGACTGCTGGGGCTCTGGACAGTCTCGCTGGGCTTAGAACCCGTGTGCGGGGGGCAACGCAACATTGCCCTTTTGGCTAATTGCACGGCACAGGGTTTTGGAGAGTCACCCACCTCGAGGAGCTGAGTGACAGACCCAGGCAAGTATTTGATGGGAAGTGGTCTGCGAATTACCCTTGGACATCTAGGGCGGATCCACAGTCTGGCTTTTTTTTTTTTCTCCTCAAGAGCCCTACAATTTATTTTAACTGAGAATAAAACCAATCTGCCTCCCTTTAGTCTCAGAAGGCCCCTTCTTTTATGGGAAGAGCTTGCCGCCTTCCTGTGCCACTGTGGGGGGCACCCCTCTTTGCGCACATGTCTGGGCAAATCTGTGCTGAGGCACAACAGTAAAACAAGTTTCTCCAGATTTCCCCAAATCTACTCAGACGCCTTTGGAATTGCCTGAGTAAATGCATAATTGTTTTAATTTGTTGTTTTCTTAACTCCACGTTAGTGGCTGCCAAGGCAGAGGGCCCTTGCGAACCTCTCCCCGGGGCCTCCTGAGCTGGCTCGGCCCATTTTTCAGGAGCGCCTCGTTTTGAAGCAGAAATCACCCTTTTTTTTTTTTTAAATTTCTTCCTTACAGTTTCCTTGTTTCTCAAACTTTCTATACTGACCATATATGACTATATAATAAAAAAAAGGACTGAGGATAAAATTTATAAATATCCATGAGAACAAGGGCAGAAGATGGATATTTTCATAAAATGCATGTTTTTAAAAAAGAAAAAAATTAAGAAGTGATCATGTACAACTATTAAGGTCCTCAAAGTTTTCCATTTTTCATGATCAAAGGCTTTGTGAAAGTGCTTTAAAAATTAGAAATAATTGAGAAATATTGAAGTATTATATACAGAATGAGTTAGACAGGCAAATAGTGACCCTGTGGTTTATTCACATTATTGTTCAGAGAGTTGCTCATGGCTGCTCTTGGAAAGCAACACTCATTGCACAGAGATAGTTTCCAGATCTATGGATACATTTTTTTACATGTTGGCTTTGGGGAATGTAGAGTAAATTTATCCTAAAGAAAAATGTTATAAATTGTGATTACAGAACCAGACTAGCCTATAAAACCCACACAACAGTTTGTAATAATAGAAAAGGAGAAACTCTATGGCTGAGTCATAACAAAATAATTAGGAAAACAATAAAAGTCAGTACAAAGGAGCATTTAAATTTTCATTGTGAGTTAGGTCAAAGGCTTTGTGAAGTGGGGAAAGTCTCACTATAATCGTGGAGATTTTTCTTTTCTTCCCCCCCACCCCAAGCTTTATATTTTGTCAGTAGTCCCTTATTTATCGTATTTGATTTCATCACTAATGAGTGGTTCTCAGCTTGCAGGGCTCCAAAGATAGTGGCTGAGCTGCACTTGGATCTACACTGCAACTTCAAACACTCAGGGAGCCCTCTGAAGTCCTAAGTGCTTGGTAACCTGCCCCGGGATGGAACACGCCGGCTGGGCCGAACTTGCCAAGCCCAAGCGTGTCCCGCACAGCTGCAGACCAAAGTAGCCCCAATTACGTTAACAAGCAGAAGACGTTAAAATAACATCTCTTTTAGTTTTGACTTAGGGAGCAGAACACCCAAGCTGATTGATTTCCACCACCAAGGTGCCCCCGAACCGTGAAAATAATCCCAAGGTTATGATTTTAAAAAATATATATATACCAAGTAGAGTAGGGGGACCTTTGCATATTGTGTCCACTCTCTTGGGCATGAACGGGTGTTTCTGAAACCAGACAGGCCAGTTCTGCGCGGGACCGTGGGCCACGTTTCCAGTGACGTCATCCGACATCTCCCTATCAGTGTGACGGTATCATTATGGGATGGTCTCCAGCCAGTTATCTCAACTCCCCGGGTCTCACTGGTTA